ACAAGGACAATCTAATATGTTCTAATAATAATATTCCTGAACACTAATACCACATTTTCAGATTATATAATCATTCACACATCTACAATTACAACAACAACAACAACAACAACAACAGCAACAACAACTCATATAACAGCTAACATTTTCATCGAATCACCCACTCTTGTTTATCTCATAGCAATATGTTTTTTTAAATGGCATTGTTCATTAGTCATCAACCTGCTATTCTGACACTTATGCTAGACAGTTTGTGTCGGCATGTATGAGTGAATTCAAATGTGTGGCTGATTCATTCATTGCTCATAAGTGTGCAAAATGTAGTGCCAATTATATTAGGGTGCAAATAACATTCATTATAAACAGCATCCTGACATTGATTTTCATTTCCACATGTGTATTGCAGTTTTGCTTTTAAATTCTGTGCCTTTGTATTCAAGTCTTTTTATCTTTGGCTTTTGTCAGGTCTACATGATTATTTGTGGCTCAGTATAAAGCTCCTGAGTCTGTCTCACTGTTAGAATCAGATTTGTGTCTGTTCGCCACGCTAACAATAGAACAACAGTACTGTGAGCTCTGAGGGGTTGGAGGAAGCCTATGGAATATGGCTCTGTAATAACAGAGTAAATATGATGTTTGTTTACATCCTTGTGTACACTTTGCCTATTTCCTCAACGCTTTGTTTGTGTGTCCTCATCAGCTGCCCTGGGGTTTCTTTAGACTTGGGAAACAATGCCATCTTTGTAAGTCTTGTAGTAACACGACTAATTAGTGTTTCTATTGAACATTTGGATGAGCAAATCAGTCGAATTCTTGAATATTTCAGCTAAAATTGGCAAAAAATAAAGTACAGATTTTTACTTAAATAACTCAGATTAGCTTTGTTGGACTGCTGTAGTTATATTGGTGTGTTGCTGCTGCTTTTTCTTATGTCCTTGTGGTCGTTGTCTTCAAGAAAACTGCTGTTGTTGTAAGGCTGCTCAATTAATCGTATTTTAATCGCAAATAAAACCTTTTCTTTTTTTCTTTATTTTTGTATTATTGGTTTTTCAGTTGAATTATACTTACAGTTCAGGGTAATCAGCTGTTAAAAACATACTGTTCACACTTTTTTTTTCAATAAATGGATGTTTTCAAAGTAAATGGATAATCGTTTTTAATAATCGTGATATCAATTATTGACCCAAATAATCGAGATTATGATTTTTGCCATAATCGAGCAGCCCTATGTTGTTGGCCTTTTAGTCATGTTCCCCATGCTGTTGTGTCTCCTCTCCTCCTCCTATTTGGAGTTGAGACGTATAGATTGTGCTTTGAGTTGATGAACAATTCAGACCATTAGCATTTATGATTGTCTAGGTTGGATAATGTGTTCACTCAACTGTTATTTGTGTGTGTGTTTTTTCATTCTACTCTATCTCACGTCTTATTTATTCTGTTGGCTTTTGTTACGGACTGACAAACCTTTATCTAATGTAAAAAAATGTAATCAAATTATTAACTTTTTCATAATTTTCTACATGTGGCTTGGCCCTGTTAAATGAAAAAAATAAGTGTGAAGCTACAAATAGAGTGTTTATCTGAGGTAAACACTGTCCATTAAGATCGTATCTGCTCTGCGGCTTCGTGATAAACACTGAGTGAAACTCGTCTCCTACATACTTTATGAAATGTTAATTCATTATGTATTATTCATCATAACATTTGAAGTCCTGTTTGCCAAGGGATTACACACAAATACTCCCCAAATTCACAGCAAGCCACCGAGTCTATGTTTTGTCCAAGACCTCCCCTCTGGAAATATGTCGTGGTACAATTGTTATGTTGTTAATTAGGTATTAGGTATAGTAGATAGATAATAATAAATCAAGATGTAACTGTGTACAGGCCGAACATTAGAGTGAGATGAACTGCATAGGAACTTAATGCACAATTTGTTAGTCAGGGAAAGAAAGGGAAATGGACAAAATGAGAGCCTGGAAAAGTGAAATCTGATTCAGATACAGACAAATGTTATTTGTACAACCTGTGATATGTATTGCAAGGTTCCAGTTATCTCAAATCGTTGATTGTAAATAAAGTGAAACTGCCAAGATTGGACGTGCAGCTCTAATGGAAAGAAAGGATCGATGTAACGTAAAACCAAAAAGGGGAGATAGAAGCGTAGAGGTGATAGTGGAGTACAGAGGAACATGGATTCTGCCTCACACAAGCTGCTAAAGAATGGATTTGTAAAAAGTGCTGCAAGATTTTTTCATTTACTGCTATTTGTGGTCAGCTCATTACTCAGGCTAATTTTGCCTCGATATGCACACACAAACACACACACACACACACACGCACGCACGCACGCACGCACGCACACTCACTCACAAAAATCACCAACACTCATTAACAAAATCTTGCTGATAAATGAACGCAGAGAACTGGTTCATGAAGCATCGGCGGTGGGGTCATGGGGGAGAGGAGGAGGGATGCAGGTGGAGCGAGGCTCTGATCAGAAATACAGTAAATATCACGATCACTTCATAGTGCAGAAGAAGAAAATCATAAAAGGAGTTTACTGTGAACACAATGGCTTCAAAAGCTGCAATGTGTCGGGATTGAGTCACTCATATTTAGATCTCAAAGAGTCTTGAGAAAGCTAACAAGACTTTGTACACATTCTTTTTTTTCATATGCCAGTTTTATAATTTTAGAATATTCATAAGTCTGGATAATGTGACACCTTTATCATACACCAACTCTTGGAGTTATTAAGTTAGACAAGCTTCGGTATCAGGTAATGAAACGTCTGCCATAAAGCCTTTTGCTAATCGACTCTGGGTTATTACAAGAACGACTGCATAACAGCTATTTTCTCCAAAAAGAACAACATCTTGTTATGGGTTGCTTTTATTGTTAATTACCTCTCCCAGAGATGTTATTTTTGGTTTGTTTGTTTGATGTCAGGGTTGTGTAAGAACTACTGAGCTGATTTTGAATGAAACTTGTTGGAAGGCTTTAGCGGGGGCCTAAACCTCGGAGCAGACCTGAAACACAGGGCTGATGGTAGGGCTGCTGGATAATGGCAAAAATCATAATCTCGATTATTTGGGTCAATAATTGATATCAGGATTATTAAAAAACGATTAACCATTGACTTTGAAACATCCATTTATTGAAAAAAAAAAATTATGTTGTTTTCATAATCGTTGCAAGCCAAAATCGTTATTGCGATTAAAATACGATTAATTGAGCAGCCCTAGCTGATAGAGCTCTTCTAGTTAAAAGTCGGATCGATCACAATATGCGACATGGATTTATGGTTTAGGTTTTCTGGAAAACTGTATCGGTTTATATCCTGTGCCATATCCCACCATGTTTTTTTAAAGACACGCAGACAAGACGTTCCTAGGCGGTCCGCTGGGAAGTATTTCATTTAGCAAAATGTCACAGGAACTCAACTGAGGTGGAAATTTTGATATTTTCAAAAGTTAGATTTAAGAAAAATAATGGGAATAACTTTGAAGGTTGAACCGTGTTGATTTACTTTAGCAAACATACGAAGAAGATAAGAAATCAGACAATTAAGGGGTGGGGATAGGAAACAGCCTGACAAAAAAAATCTGTTTGTTAGATAAAATGCAATAAATGGTTCACAACAACCAACAACATTTTCGACTGATACATTGCTACACATGAGAGATGTATAAAAGTCATTCAAAAAGGGCAGGCATATCTTTCGGCTATTCAGCGTAATTAAACCACTTGAGAATAACAGCTAAATAATAACTCTTCCCGTGACATAGGTGAAGAGAGGTTCAAAGTACATCACGCAGTGTTTCCTCTTCGGGGCATTGGAAACATCTCATTGCGCGGGTCAGTCGTGTTACACTAACGGCTGATGAATGAACTCAGAGGTGGGCGTACAAACACTGACACACAGGGAAACAAACGGCTGGAGCTTTCCTCTGAGATCAGACAGCGCAGCTCGTGGCGGAGTGTGCTCCGCTATGAACGCCTGCCAAACTCACCGTGTGGGCGAAGCTCCACTGTAAGGAGTCTGACATTTTCAGCCTTCACCGAGGGCAGGAGAGCCCCCGAATGTTGTATCGTGTTTCCTGCATATAGCCTTGTCTTTTCCCGTTGGGTGATCGTAATGGGCTTTTAGTGCAACTACATCCAGATATCAAGGACAACAAAGGTTTCTGAGCTAGTGTTTGTGTGTATTTCAGACCTGCTCATGTTGATATTGATGAGCAATGTGTGTGTTCAGTTTATAGCGTTGTTGTAGAAATTAGGGGTGCACAATTTGGAATAAATATGTAATTCATTATGTTGAAGGGATTTCTGCTGCTGGCCCACTTCTTGATTCGAAAGGGTATTTTAACAAGTTTTTAGTCTTTAAAGCGTCCTTTTATGGTCATTTTCAGTTTCATATTTGTTGTTATGCCTCTATGACATGTTCACATGCTTTAATGTTCAAAAAGCTCTTTATTTTTCTCATACTGCCTGTGCTGCAGCACCTCTTTTCACCCTCTGTCTGAAACCAGAGTCCAGTCTGCTCTGATTGGTTAGCTGGTCGGCTCTGTTGTGATTGGTCAACCACTCGGGAAAGTCACGTATAATATGTTGGAGCGCTAGCCAATAGCAGCACAAGTATTACATAGTGATGTCATTAGGTTAATAAAGGAGTCCAATAAAGGCATTTAAGGTGGGTGGGGGGAACTTTGGGATTTTAACCCAATACAGACCATTTGATTTTAACCCAATACAGACCATTTGATTTTAACCCAATACAGACCATTTGCATGCACAAAAACCTATATACCACGCCACAGAAAATGCAAACCCCCCCCCAAAAGGTACAATAGGGACCCTTAAACATATATTCCATATTGCTACTTTGATATCATTCTGATGAATTGTGCAGCCATAGTAGGAAGTGTTCTCGCTCCGAGCAGTATCTCTGTGTGACATGCTGAGTTGACATGTCCTCCTCTTCCTCCTCATTGCAGGCGGATGCATCCACCAGCTTCCTGCGTGCCGCTCGTTCCGGTAACCTGGACAAGGCTCACGATCACCTGAAGAACGGCCTCGACATCAATTCATCCAATCAAGTGAGACTATTTCCTTTAACTCACTATCCAAAAAGCTGTGTGTATTAGCATGTGTTTGTGGGAGTAGAGGAAGATGATTTTAATGAACAAAACGTTATAAACTGCCCCTCGTATTAAAAATGACAGCATTTATTTAGGACTCACGGTGCTTTACAAATCTAGCAGCCAATCCTCTCTGACAGTGTTCAGTAATCGCTACATTACAGTATTTACACATTTTTGTTTTGATTTAAATGAAAACCCATGAGCGGCATTCAACAAGTCCATGCATGTTGTCAGTGGAAGTCAAAAACCATTTTAAAAACACTTCCATGATATAGTTTAATAAACACACATTCTGCCACTGTCTGTGACGAAGATAGCCATTGAGGCACTGAAATTGTCAGTGGATAATACAAATGAAAGAGTTTTCTGACCCATACACGTATAAGCAGCAGACCAAGGCCAGAGAACAGGATTGCTTCAGTTGGTAATGTCCCTCAGGAGAAATGTCCCTCAGGAGAAATGTCCCTCCGATTCAGTCTTTCATGACCAGGAGCAGCAGATTAGGAAGAGTTAAGTAAGAGCTATTCTCCGCATGACATCTAGTTGGGTCAAATATCTATCCTTTAATGTTTCACACATTGCTCAAATGATATTTTTGAATAAACTTAAGAGATTTATGAGCACGGAAGGAGGAATTAGATTTTTTTTTTTTTTTTTGCCTTTATTTATACAGGTTTAAAATCTCATTGAGACAAAAGGTCTCATTTTCAAGAGAGACCTGTTCAGTGGTAACACTACCACACAAAGTTACAGACAGACAGGACACTAAACACAGAGGTGTTAATCAAAAGTTTGTTTTGGCTGCTTGCACTAATTTCTCTTTAAGTACTCTTAGGAGTAAAATAATTTCCCTCAGTTAGGCGAATGGTACTCAGGAACCTCATCTCATCCCTATGAGAAAGAAAGAAACTATGAAATGTGGTGTTAAAGGATCTCTGAGAGGAATGAGAAACGTAATGTCTCAATGGAATGCCACTCTGCAGTATCAGCTAAGGATGACAAATGAAAAAAAGCCCCAAAAGAAAATGAAAAATTCACAACTCCTAGACTTCCTGATTCTCTATCTTTTGTGTAAAGTGGTGTGCATGAATAATTAAGTGTATTAGATTAAAGTCCCCTCCATCTTCAGCCCTGCCGTCTGCTCTCTTACACCTTATTGCATCAGGACCATAGAACAGCCGATTCAGCTTAATGAGGAGACATCACTGTGAACGTGTGAAAGAAAATATGTTTGGTTTAGACACATAAACAGCTGTTGTGTTGAGGATGGGTGCAGAGTAATGGACAAGTGCTTTCATACACACCACTGTCAGAGAGATGAAAGAGCGGACATTAAGAATGAACGCCCGTTTCACACTAATTGGTTCCGCAACACATACAGAAAGAGAGGTGGCGACAACATGTGGGAAATGTATAGGTATAGATGCATCTTATAATTGTTGGCAACACAGTATTATTTTATTCTGCTCATGCCAATAAAGCTATTTCAATTGTTGGCAGTAGCTCCGTCTGTAGGGACTTGGCATGGGAACTGAAGGGTCGCTGGTTCAAGTCCCGATGAGACCAAAAATACTGAGTGTGGACTGGCAGCTGGAGAGGTGCCAGGTCATGCCGAGGCGTCCTTGAGAAAAGCGCCGGAAAAACCTGGCAACTAACTGTAGAAATGCATGTGTTAGTGCGCATCTGTGTTCCTATGCATGCATGTATTTGTACTGTGTTCATTCAACAAACAGAATGAAAAACATTTGAGATAAAATGTCTTTGTTTGATGTTTGAAAAAAATATATGGATTGTTTTCCTTGTAAAGAAAACATGTATTTGTATAGATGTTGTTATAATTGTCATTACTCGTACATTTCCACTACATTTGATGTCATTATGGTTATGTTATGTGAATTTAAAAGAGACAGAGAGACAGTAGATGAGATACTGAAGATAGGGATCGAAATGAGTCATTTGTCAATGGTCCATAATATATATATATATATACTACATCATTACTACCCACAACCGTGTGATCAATTACTTCTTAAAGACCCTAACTGTAATTCTGTAAAGAAATGCTTTTCTTCCATTTTCCATCCCCTTTTTTTCCTAAGGATTTTTCATCTTTTACTATTTTATTGATGTCTTGCAAGGGCAGAGACTTTATTTGTATTTGTGATTTATGTGATTCTGCAGCAGTAGCGTGTCCTTGCTATGCCTGCAACTCTGCACACTCTTCCTCTCTCATCCCAGTCATGTAGCTGTTTGCAGAAGGGCGTGTTAATGGGCATTAATGTGTTAGTCTTGAGTTTAAAAAACAACATTTAAAGTCTGTGCGTATTTGCTTTGGTCCGGTGTGTACACAGCAGAGCCTCACACACCACATTTAACAGTGTGTGTAATTGATACACAGTGTGTTTCCCATTCTCTGCTGCGCATGTTCACACAGAGGCTGTTACCCATTTGAATTGAGTCACACCGCAAAATGAGGGGAAGCCTGAGAACATCGTGGGTAACTGAGACCCCTTCTGGTCAGACTGGGTACAGCAGGCAGGTTTCAGCTCCATTACAGCACTGTATTCAGCCAGAGAGACAACAGACTGTCTGGGTGATGTTGGGATAAAACAGTTGTCCTCTCCCTCTTCTCTATACTTTCAGGTTATTCAATTTGTCAAAACTGAGACCTCCTGCTGTCTCTGTGTTTGTATCTATTATTTTCAGAGGTACTGTAACTAGACGAGTGATGTTCGACACAGCACATGTTGCTCACAGGGGAATGAGACTGGAGAATTGGTGTTTTTTTTCCCCTCATTTCCGAATGTGGAGTGGTTTTATTTAATCGTGATTAAAAGGAACTTGGGAGTATAAAGATGTTCACTAGCAGAACTCAAACACACTTCGCTCTGGTTTCTCAGACCACTGCACAAGCTGTCAGGTTGTGGTTTAGACCACGATGATAAAGGCCGAGGATAGGACACGGCCAAATGATGGCATGGATGTCCAAAGACTTTTCAGAGATGTGTTCTATCTGTTTATTCAGCATTGCTTAGCACCACCTCTTATAAGAGATGTTGCATCACTTTTCAGTTAATACAGACTGTGGTTATAGTAATCCTGATTATCACCAGGATTATCATGACTGTGTTTGTTCTAATTCTAATGTGACTAAATGTCTCTGTTCTCTCTCTCAGAATGGTCTCAACGGGTTACACCTGGCTTCTAAAGAAGGCCACGTTAAAATGGTCCTGGCTCTGCTGCACTCTGGCATCAAGCTGGAGGCCACCACCAAGGTATTTGATTTTTCTTTTCACACCATCCCAGCACCTCTCTTAAATGTAGCTCGGGGCTAATTCAGCTGGCAGCTGTAGAAAGCAGTGTAGCCATCCTTCACATTGTACTCAGCAAAACTGTAAACGGCTTTACAAGATAATGGATTAGCCTTTGAATAAGTAATACGAAATTATTTAACAAAGTAGATGCAGTATTGGTGAAAAGAGTGGTTAAGCTAACTACAGAATATTTGCAATTGCATTTTTAACAGAGCTGTTAAATAACATACATTCAAATGTATTTTATTGTGGTCATAAGTTAGGTTTAGCCGCTTTATCATCGATGTTTAAGTTCTACATGTTTACTGAATACATTAATACACTATTATTTATAGTGTATTTTAGTGCCGACTTCTCCATGTAGAGATCTAGGCCATTAGGTTGTAATCATTCCCTTCCGGCTCACTCTACTTTTCCCTGTCTCTCTTTCAATGTGTGTGTGTGTGTGTGTGTGTGTGTGTGTGTGTGTGTGTGTGTGTCTGTGTGTGTGTGTGTGACCTCCAGAAAGGGAACACAGCTCTCCATATCGCGGCGCTGGCAGGGCAGGAGAAGGTGGTGGCTGAGCTCGTCAACTACGGAGCTAACGTTAATGCCCAGTCACACGTGAGTCACCCCGACTTTGGCTCAGACTGGAGCGTGTCAGCGTGTACGCATGCATATGTGACACACCTGCTAAAGGGCTATCCATGAATGTGTGGTTTGTTTAAACCTCTAGAGGATGCAGACTTCTTGACTGCAAAATAATGTATTGGGTATATTTTCTTTAAAAAAAAAAAATCTGTTGTATAATCCTTTAGGGTTAGATCCTCCTTTTAAGCTTTTCATTTTCAACTTCAGTTAGGGTTGTGGCAGCCATTATCACTGTAAATCCAATTTAACGTGTAAAAAGAAAGTGGTTTCTTTTGAGAGAAATGTGCAGGCTTTGAGGGGGCACTTTGATACTTCCTATAAGTTGCTAAAAGCCTTTTCAGATATATTTGTATATATTAAATGACTAATTTAGGAGTATTGGCCCCTAGACTGTATGGTATTGCACAATAATGTTTCTATCAAAGCTGTTGAAGGTGGAGCCACTGTAAATGGCTTTCTGTTTAATTAACAGATTTGTTTGATGTATTAGCTATTCATCTTAATCTGTACAGTAAATGTATTTTCCACCACATCCCCATAATTCTGTGTATATGTAATCATAAATAATGTGTGTGTGTCTTTACAGAAAGGGTTTAGTCCTCTCTACATGGCAGCACAAGAGAATCACCTCGAGGTGGTGAAGTTCCTGCTGGAGAACGGAGCCAATCAGAGCCTCCCAACAGAGGTACGTGTGATGGAGACTCTTTTTGGAGCATTAACTGGAAAACAAGGAAGCTGGAGATCAAAGAAAGATTGTTTCTCCCCAAAGGGACACAGGAGAGAAACAGTATAAACCATCCATGTTGTCGCCCAGCCATTCTCGGTCCCTGTTTACCCAACAGTAATCATTTCAATGACTTTTTAAATACAATCCATAATTTAAAAAAATGGTATCATCGCTGTCCCCGACCTCGATCTCCTTTAACCTGCATAGCAGTGTCAGTGCTTTGTCAGTCTTGACTCATCAGTTTTGGGCAGACAGCTCAGCATGTCTATATGTTATGTGACTGGGAGAGAATGACCCCTCTCAAGGAGAGATATGTGACCTCAGATCTACTCAAATGATTCCTAACAGGAAAAGGACAGTCTAATGTCAAAGACATATGTAATACATGTGTATATAAATTCATTTATATTTATACTAATGGACTGGAATCAGCTTAAATTATAAAGTACTTGTAGCAGTATGTGTCTCTTCAAATTAGCTGTTTTGAATGGGATTTTGCACCTAACACAGATGGTGCCAACTAAACATATGAGGCTAGAGAATATTGTATCTTTGACTGTATCATATCTCATACAATATAGCATTCTCCATTTTCTCTCCTTTTCTCCATTCCTGTCTCGTTTTTCCCCGTTATGACCTCCATACTGTTTCTCGCTGCCTCCTCTCTCAGGACGGCTTCACTCCCCTCGCAGTAGCTCTGCAGCAGGGCCATGAAAATGTCGTTGCACTGCTCATCAACTATGGCACCAAGGGCAAGGTCCGGCTCCCCGCCCTCCACATCTCCGCTCGTAACGACGACACGCGCACCGCCGCTGTGCTCCTGCAGAACGACCCCAACCCGGACGTGCTCAGCAAGGTACACACTCATCGAGAAGTGTGTCGAGCTAAAAAGAATAAGATTAATAAGCAGCAACAATACAATTACAATGTCATTTGCTTGATTGAGAATTAAACAGTCCAGGGAAAGGAACAGCTAGATGCAACAGCTTTCTCACTGAAAAAATATCTATTCATTATAAAAATAATCCTCATAACAGACATTTATAGAATATTTTAGGCTATTGTGTGACTGTTCTTTCGAACTTTATATCCCCAACTATTATGTAATCCGTGTCTTGCAAGTTGTTGTCACCCTGTTTTTGAATATTGATATAAATAGATGGTAATTATCCTTATTTAAACTGTTTCTTCTTTCCTATGTCTCCTTCACTGCAGACTGGGTTCACACCCCTCCACATTGCAGCCCACTATGAGAACATGAGCGTCGCCCAGCTGCTGCTGAACAGAGGAGCCAATGTAAACTTCACCCCCAAGGTCAGTTTCTCACAAGGTCTCAAAGGAATGATGGGCGTGATTCAAAAATTGTGTTTAAAGAGAAATATACCTTAAAGGAGACAGGAATATTAAAGGGGCCCTATTGTTATTTTTTAGTTTTCCCTTTCCTATAGTGTGTTATATACAGGGGTTCACATAACAGGTATGCATTCGCGGCAAACATCTGAAATGCGTACCGTCACTTGTCTCACTAAGGCTAAGCGCATTTGCGTACCGACGGACTTGTGAAGCATTTCCAGAAGGCGCTTCGATCACTGGACGACAGAGCCGGTCGCCGTGCGGGCTGCTGTTAACGTCGGTGTGTACAACGGAATTGTGCCACAACTTCCGGCGTAGGTTCCATGTGCGTGGTCCACGAGACATCACTACGTAACACTTGCGCTTATATTGGCTAGCGCCCCGATTCATTGTACGTGATACTGTAGACTTAGGGGCGGGACATCTCTAAGCGGTTGACCAACCACCACAGAGCCGGCCAGCTAACCAATCCAAGGCTCTGGTTTTAGACAGAGGGTGAAAGAGGTGATGAGGCACAGGCAGCATGAGAAAAATAAAGACCTTTTAAACATTAAAGCATGGAGACAGTAGAAGCATTAAATACAAATATGAAACCTGAGAATTTGCAAAATAGGGCCTCTTTAAGATACATGTTTTGTCAATAGATCAGTTTCCATTATGCTTTACATTAACAGTCTTTAGACTTTATGATGATTATTAAACCTGACTTTCTTCCGCTTCTTCTCTAGAACGGCATCACGCCCCTTCACATAGCCGCCAGGAGGGGCAACGTGATGATGGTCAGACTACTGCTGGACAGAGGAGCTCAGATTGATGCCGTGACAAAGGTAGTGTTCTGCTCAGCTCCACTCCTTTGGCATTTACTCACTTACACTTTCCAAAGTCCACCCCCCCCCCATCTGTCTTCCTCTCTGCTGATTTGCTCATTCCTGTCTCTTGTGTAATTTTCCAATTTCTCTCCTCGTCCCTCTTTCATTGTAGGATGAGCTGACTCCTCTCCACTGTGCCGCCAGGAACGGTCATGTTCGCATTATTGAGTTCCTGCTGGAACACGGTGCTCCCATCCAGGCTAAAACCAAGGTAGATGATGAAAAACTGCAGTCGCTGGGGTTGCATTTCAGCCATCACTAACCTTAGAAGCTCGGATATCAGCAGTGATCCTCAGGGTTTACTGTTCAGCACTGATGTGTTCTTGGTCAATCTAAGATGTTCTACTTAGTGAGATTCTATCTTGTAGGACACTTTCCTAAGGCCAACAGAAAATCAGCATATAAAGCAGATTGTTAAAAACTGAAACACTTTCATCCAATTTTGGATAATGATCTTAAATCAATAAGATTTACTCGTGGGTCTGTTTACTGAGCATGCTAGGCAATTACATCATAGCAAATACCATCATTACAAGATTCATTGCCAGTATTATTTCCAAGTACTTTTAGCACACTGTGTTGATTACATACCCTCTAATGACTCTTTCATGAACACAATAAATGTTATCTGACTGTATCTGATTTATGAACATCCCTCTCTCTCCCTAACTTCTTCCCGTTCTGTCTCTCCTACAGAATGGTCTCTCCCCCATCCACATGTCAGCTCAGGGGGATCACATGGACTGTGTCCGGCAGCTGCTGCAGTACAACGCTGAGATTGATGACATCACGCTGGACCACCTAACCCCTCTTCATGTAGCAGCCCACTGCGGTCACAGCCGGATGGCCAAAGTCCTTCTGGACAAGGGGGCCAAAGCCAATGCAAGAGCTTTGGTAGGGTTTGTTTTAATGTTTGTTGTTTACTATAGATTACTTTCTCAAAGTTGAATTCAACAATCAATCAAGAAGGCCATACGTGACTGTTTTATGTCCAAATATGTATTTCAGAATGTACTTATTTAAGTATAATTTACCCATCTGTTATGATAAACGGTCTGGATGTATTTATTTCACTCAAAACATGAACAATTTGGCCTGGGAAGGAATGTGAAGGGGTATAAAAATGTAATAACATAACTTTCCCTGAGAATCTCAAGTGTTTCCTTTAAAAACGCATGAGTTTCCTCACTAAAGAGTTCAGGTTAAACTATGTATATATAACTGCTGTGATTGTTCAGCAAATATCCCCATAAATAGTTGAGTTATTAATGACGCAGAATAGCGTTTGCACTGCAATGTGTTTCAAAGATATGAGACGCTACTTTTGCTAAAAGGAAAGCAAGAAAAGATGCTGATTCAGCAGGTGCAGTGATTTACTGAGCTGAAAGGAGCTTTTCATATTTGAAAGCAGCTGTGGACAGCAGATACTGTAAGAATCACCCCCAATCAGTGCAGACTGATTTAGGCCTACTGACTATTGATTGAAATATTATATATATACAGTGGGGGAAAAAAGTATTTAGTCAGCCACTTATTGTGCAAGTTCTCCCACTTAAAAAGATGAGAGAGGTCTGTAATTTTCATCCTAAACTATGAGAGACAAAATGAGAAAAAAAAAATCCAGAAAATCACGTCTGATTTTTAAAGAATTTATTGGCAAATGATGGTGGAAAATAAGTATTTGGTCAATAACAAAAGTTCATCTCAATACTTTGTTATATACCCTTTGTTGGCAATGACAGAGGTCAAACGTTTTCTGTAAGTCTTCACAAGGTTTTCACACACTGTTGCTGGTATTTTGGCCCATTCCTCCATGCAGATCTCCTCTAGAGCAGGGGTTCCCAAAGTGGGCCTCCCGAGTAGGGGTCGCGAGATGATTACAAAATAAAAATGGAAAATAAAATAAAAAAATGGATTAATTTTTTTCCCCCGCAATGAGGCTCCCCCTTTGACAATCAACTAGCGCAGTGTTTCTCAAATCATCACTTGCGTGGAGCCCCAGATCGAGGGAGATTATCAGTGGTCTTGTATGTCTTCCATTTTCTAATAATTGCTCCCACAGTTGATTTCTTCACACCAAGCTAATTACCTATTGCAGATTCAGTCTTCCCAGCCTGGTGCAGGTCTACAATGTTGTTTCTGGTGTCCTTTGGAGTGTGACTGTTTGAGGTTGTGGACAGGTGTCTTTTATACTGATAACAAGTTCAAACAGATGCCATTAATACAGTTAACAAGTGGAGGACAGAGGAGGCTCTTAAAGAAGAAGTTACAGGTCTGTGAGAGCCAGAAATCTTGTTTGTTTGTAGGTGACCAAATACTTATTTTACACCATAGTTTTCAAATAAATTCTTTAAAAATCAGACAATGTGAATTTCTGGATTTTTTTTCTTTTCATTCTGTCTCTCATAGTTGAGGTATACCTAGGATGAACATTACAGGCCTCTCTCATCTTTTTAAGTGGGAGAACTTGCACAATTGGTGGCTGACTAAATACTTTTTTGCCCCACTGTATATATATATATATAAAATGTATTTATATTTTAAGATTGAATCAGTTGTAGCGGCACGTCTGCATAACGTATTAAGCACTGGTTTAATAGTCTGATCCTTAAAAAATACACTTCTTTCACATTCAGCTGGTATCTTGTCCTGGTCTGCTAGTGTGCACTTGTGCTGATAAAAAGTCCTGGCTCTGTAGAAATATTACAAACAAAGACAGCAAAAACATTGTGCTGCGAAATGCGGAAGCACCTTTTATCACCCATCTATGACCTATTGACCTTGGATTTTATTCCACCTCTATGTTGCTCCTCGTGATAATAGGAACATGTATCTTTTACGCCCACTTTAAAGTGAATTCAATATTCAATCAATATATTGTATACACTATATTATCCATTCCCATTTCCCACATCCACACTCCGCAGCTTTGGGGACAGAGCCTTCTCAGTGGCAGCTCCTAGGCTCTGGAATCCCCTCCCTAAAGATCTTCGTGACTCTGAGTCCCTCACAGTCTTTCAGTCCCGCCTCAAAACACATCTTTTCAGCTCTGTCTACCCATAAGCCCCCTCCCCCCTCTCAATCAACTTCCTCTTGACTGCCTTTTCTGTTTATTTTATTTTACTATATTCATGTGTTTGCCTGTCCTTGTTTGTCTACCCTCCCTCTTACTGTAAAGCGTCTTTGAGTTGTAGAAAAGCGTTATATAAATATAATGTATTATTATTATTAGATTAGATTATCACCAAAGAAACATTTTCAGAGATATTTCCTTATGTTTCCAGAATGGCTTCACACCTCTCCATATTGCCTGCAAGAAGAACCACATGCGGTCCATGGACCTGCTGCTCAAGCACTCCGCTTCCCTAGAAGCTGTCACAGAGGTGAGACAATGTGACCACCAGGGACACGCTCTTCTAACGGAAAGAAAAGTGTTCACTCAAGTGCCCTCATAAAGCACTCCTGGTTATTTCTATTTTGCACTTTTCTCTGTTTGTGCTTCTTACATGAACATTTACGCTCCAGCGTTGGCAGAACATGTGTCATTCAGATGAGGCTAAAGAACTAGAATGTCGCTTTAGTTTGTTATAATGCTTTGATATAGAGCTCTAGTGACCTGTGTGTGTGTGTGTGTGTGTGTGTGTGTGTGTGTGTGTGTGTGTGTGTGTGTGTGTGTGTGTGTGTGTGTGTGTGTGTGTGTGTAGTCTGGTCTCACTCCTCTTCATGTAGCAGCATTCATGGGCCATCTGAACATAGTGAAGAACCTGGTGCAGAGAGGGGCTTCACCTAATGCTTCCAATGTGGTGAGAACCCTTCTTTTTTTTACCCATAAACTTCATTTTCTCTTCTCTCTAAATGACTGTCCCACATTACAACTTTTTTATTGAGAATTAATTCCACACTTAATTCAATAATTTATTACATGGGAAGATTCATTTCGGAGGCCACACGTTAAACAATTAGCCAGAAATGGATTAAGCAATGAAAGTAAATCCTGTTAATTGTTTCTTAATCACTGAAATGAATGGACAGTGTTTTGAACTATGAGCCCCGATATGAATAGAGTGGATTTAAAAAGATCTTGCTCATATTAAAGAAGAACTGTGTCAGACTTGGTTTACACATTTATCATATTCAGGATTACGTAATAATTGACGCGTTAATTGAAAATCTCAGTTACATTCATAATAGTTTTGTGCATTTAAGTGACGGTTGTCTGTTTTTAACCTCATCAGAAAGTGGAGACTCCCCTCCACATGGCCTCCAGGGCAGGACACTGTGAAGTGGCTGCGTTCCTGCTGCAGAACGCAGCACAAGCGGATGCCAGAGCTAAGGTACAAGCTACTACAACCCTAAACAAACGTTGTGTTTCTAACTTTAATGTTTGTAAGCAATTGCTGCTTTCAAACTTCAGGGAAAGTTTCATAAAGCCCACCTAAAGCACATAATGAAGGCATTAGGGTGTCTGGATAGCTGTGTGACTCCATTGCCCTGTACTTAATGATATCTGTTTCCCTGTTTTAAATATTAATTTCTCTTTTTCTCCTTGTGTCCAGGATGATCAGACACCTCTACACTGTGCGGCCCGCATGGGCCACAAGGAACTTGTCAAGCTGCTTCTTGAGCACAAAGCCAGCCCCGACGCAGCTACTACTGCGGGCCACACGCCCCTACACATCTCTGCACGGGAGGGACACGTCCACACCATCCGGATCCTGTTGGACGCTGGGGCACAGCAGGTCAAGATGACAAAGGTATGGCTTCGTAATGTGCAATAATGCATTACTGCAAGAATAGCCTCAACTGAACTATGTTAGAAACTACTAAAGGCAAACATGTTTTGTTTTGTGCTCGGAGATCTTACTGTTAGTATTCCACTTTAGCAGCATCAGGTACCTTTCTATGCTTGTTTATATTTAATTCTGGTCTCATTCTATCAAACAGACTATTATTTATGTTGGGTATTATTGTGAATGAAGTCCTACTAGGTCAAACCTAATACTGATGAAAGAAAAAAAATGCCTTTTCTGTTTGTTTTTTCCAACAACAGAGAATATAATGACAGAATGCTTTTTCTTTTGAGCAGAAAGGCTTCACTCCCCTCCACGTGGCCTCTAAATACGGGAAGGTGGACGTGGCCGAGCTCCTCCTGGAGAGAGGGGCCAACCCTAACGCTGCTGGGAAGGTGAGACAGTCCCTGAAGTACACACACACACACACACACACACACACACACACACACACACACACACACACACACACACACACACACACAATACAGTCCTTTTTACACACCTTTAAAGAGCCTGAAGTGTAACCAAATAGCAGCATTTTTGGATGTGTATATTATCACGGTATGTGTTTCATATATACATGTTTTTGCGTGTGTGTGTGTCTATATACGTGTACATGTGTGTGTTTAACAGAACGGTCTGACACCCCTTCATGTGGCAGTCCATCACAACAACCTGGATGTTGTTAGACTCCTGGTCAGCAAGGGAGGATCTGCACACAGCACTGCCCGAGTAAGATGCTCACTACTGTGTGTGCGTGCACAGCGACACACAGGCCAAATGAGTGTGTGTGATACGTGGAAATACAGTACCTTACATAACAACCATTTTCTCCGTGGCACTGACAGCATGTAATCTAAAATTAAACATGAATAGTGCTTAGAAAAGCGATGCCCACTCGTATGTGTGTCCTCGTTTCTCGCCTCAGAATGGTTACACTGCCCTGCACATAGCGGCCAAGCAGAACCAGATGGAGGTGGCAAGTTGTCTGCTGCAGAACGGGGCGATAACAAACGCTGAGTCGCTCCAAGGCATCACGTCCCTACACCTGGCTGCTCAGGAGGGGCGGCCCGACATGGTGGCGCTGCTCATCTCAAAACAGGCCAACGTGAATCTGGGAAACAAGGTAAAGTATTACCATGGATCGTAACGAAGCAATAGTGGATTTACATATCTTTCCACCATTACAAACAACCCTTCCCTTTATCCATTCTGTCTTTTAGAACGGGTTGAGCCCTCTGCATCTTGTGGCTCAGGAAGGTCATGTGGGAATCGCTGACACGTTGGTCAAACAGGGAGCTTCTGTTCACGCTGCGTCACGGGTAAGTGACACCGCCTCCTCTGGTACACGCAAGGATAGAACGGGTATTATTACACGAGAAGAGTAGATCGATTATTCCACTTAAGGAGGCAGTGTCCTAACGTAGTCTTCTCCTGCTGGGACAGCCAATAGACTGAATATGCCAGACTTCACTTGGGCTTTCTGTCGTTAATAGTTTCCATATATAATATTCATGACACAGCTTTAAGTCTCTTATCTCTGAGAAGTGTTTAGCAATTTCATATAATTGGATTTTCCGTATTAAACAAGTGAATGATAATCAATGAATATTTAATGTGAACTAGTCAAAGCAGCTCATCTGTGTTTAAGATGTAAAAAAATTCATATCTTTAAGAAAGAATAAGAAAGCTGCCTTTTTTGTACTATTTGGAATCACAAGTATTTCTACACCTGTCTCTCCCTTGTGTCGTGTCTCAGATGGGATACACACCCCTGCATGTGGCTTGTCACTATGGCAACATCAAAATGGTGAAGTTTCTTCTGCAGCAGCAGGCCCATGCGAATTGCAAGACGAGGGTAAGCGTCGTCTCACTTTCATATTATATATATATCTCAGTGTCTTTTGTTTACCCGTTAGTCCTGTGAAGCTTCATCAATGTGTTAAATAAGCCGTGTGAGGAGCATACCATGATGGTTTTAGCATTCCATAATCATAGATGGAAATACTTGTTCTGTGTTTCTCCATCTTTCTGACCTGCCTCCTTTTTTCTTCCCCTCCAGATGGGCTACACTCCCCTGCATCAGGCGGCTCAGCAGGGCCACACGGACATAGTCACCCTGCTGTTGAAACATGGAGCGCTGCCCAATGAGATTACCACGGTGAGACACTTTTAGGAATACCTCTTTCAGATACAATCTTCCTCTCTACACCCTTCAATCCCACTGTACCTGCACTCTCAGATCTCTTGGCCAAGATAAACAGGCGTCCTATAGATAATGTGAAAACTAAAAGCAAAGGACGCTATGGAGGCAAGCATCTGACATGTGACATACTTTCTGTAATCTCCTTTGACAACATGATTCAAATGGCTTGATAGACTTGAATTTAGTAAAACAATAAGATAAAAATATAAGTTACTAGTCAACCGTCATTTTTTAAATCTGACCAGCTCCCAACTCATATGAATACCATGATCACACACATTTTGCTAAATGCCCCCTTACAATCAAACCACATCCTACATTTTCTTAAAGGAGATAGTCAGCATACTGTTCTGTAATATCATCTTTTGTACTCGAGTGCATCACTTATAGAATGGCCTGAAGGTTTGTAACATGTTTTTTGGTCTAAAATGAAGATGTGTAACCAATCTGTGGTGATTGTAATCAGTATGAAATGCTTTGGGAATGTATGTCATGCAATCTGACAGCCATCTGAGTATCACCGTTGTCTCCTGTTAACATTAATCCCTACAGTATATGCTGATGATGCTGTGTTGTGTTTTTCTCTATAATGTATTGTGTTGTTTCCCATCTCTCCGTACAGAATGGGACGTCTCCCCTGGGTATCGCTAAGCGGCTGGGCTACATCTCTGTCATCGATGTGCTCAAACTGGTTACCGAGGAGTCTGTCTCCGCGGTGAGCAACACGCCGTGCACGGTTCACATGGTTACACCAGTACGCAAGGAGTAGCCTTGACACATCGTGACTCAGCTGTTCAATCAAATAGTTGTCTTTTGATCAGGTTCAGTTTGCAAATATAATGCAGCAGCAGTTCCAACTATTTTCCGCTCTGACTAATTCCACCTCCTCCTGCTCCGCACAGATCACCACGGAGAAGCATCGCATGAGTTTCCCTGAGACAGTAGATGAGATTCTGGATGTGTCAGAGGACGAAGGTAGGATTTAAATATCTTATGTTAATCAACTATGAACCCTTATTTTAAACTTTGAAGAAGACTGTATGGGAGGTACACTGGCTTATTAATGAGTTTGTAAATGTTGATCATTTTTAAATGTTTGACTGTTTATAACACTTTTTCCATTTGCTTCGTAGGGGTTGCCCAGCTAACTTTAGGTAGGATTGTGTGTGTATCTCTGGCTTGTCCAGTCTGGTGGTTCGTGAATTTGTGCCTTCATTGCAAATCTCATTTTCTCTGTGTGTCACTAAGTGTCTTTTTAATCAGTTCTTCTGACTCTCAACTCCAGCCCTGTTCTCAGAGATTTATTTCCAAAATGTGTCTGTTTTCTCATCAGCGTGTAGTCACGACATGTTTTCCTTTTACCAATACACATCTGTTGGTGGACTAATTATTGACTGAACTCCAGTATTTCTGTCTTTAGAAGACAAACAGCTGCCTTCCAATCGAGCCATTTTTAAAATGAGTGCTCCTGCCTTTTACAGACTAATTGATCAATGAGCTAAATTGCACACACGCTGCGTCCCAGCTGTGACACACACAGTTGGCACTTATTCAATCGCTTTTTCTGGTTTTAATCAAATATTTGTTAGAATTAACATTAAAGCATTTTCACACACTCATTTCTAATCTATTTTGTTCTCGATGTTTAATGGTATTTCTTTTTCTTCTAACATTTTTTGAGTTTCCCTGTACAGCTTGTCCTATTCAATGTCTGTAAACAACTCTGTCTTGTGAAGTGTTTATTGTTGTTATGATCATTATTTCAACACCATTCGTCCTTAATAACTGAGGTATTTTCTCCTACACAGACACAACCATCACCACATGTGATTTCATCTTTAATAGGCATGCTCACAAAAAAACATGCTGTCACCAGGTGGCTTGCAGTGTGCTGTCCATGCAGTGTCCTAAACTGTGTTAATATTCACTGTCTTACCAAATCTATTCTTTCACTCCTTTGGTTTCCATCGGCTCTGGTTGTTGTTGGTTTAATCGGTTGAAATAAAACATCGCTTTGTGGCCATTCTTTTTCTGTGGTATTCATTAAGGTGAAGTGATGGGAAGGATGGTGGTGTTACAATTAACTTTCGCCTATTGGGAATTGAATCGAGTGGCATTATTTTGACCTAAGTGGAGAGGTCAACCACAGTTCAAGATACTGTCACTATCAAAAAAAAGTTTCAATTAGGGGAATAAGGTGAATTCCATATAGACAAAAATAATTAGTAGAAGAAATGGAGAGTTGAGATCAGCATCATTTTGCCCTGTATTCCCGTGGTCTCGTCCTTTTTTCTCTTTAATTATTTATGTGAAACCTTTTCTTTGCCTATTTGTTTCCCTCTTTGCTCCTTTTCCTTTTTTCTTATCTCTTCATTTGGCCCACAGGAGACGAGTTGCTCGGGATGGATGGAGGACGCTATTTGAAGCTTGACGACTTCAAGGACCAGGATGACGACTTCCTCTCCCCGAAGAAAACCTTCAGAGACTTCGAGGGCGCCATGGGAACATCGTAAGTCATTGTGTGCTCATATGTCTGTATAGTAAACTGCAGTTGAAAGTTGAAACTGTTTTTATTTATTTTTTAACATAACAGCTGAAATATAATGGTGTTAAATAGGTCATTTAATGGCTGCCATTTACAGTACATTATCTCTGTCCTAAATCATGAGAAGATTTGCTCTAACCATCTTTTATTGCCAAATAAAAGTCAGCTGTTTCTTGTCTTACATCATTTTCATTTCCTCCCCGGCAGGCCCTACTCTCCTGGTATTCCCAGAATCCCTTGTGTGTCCCCGGAGACTGTACTGCTGGATCAGGTAGGCTTAGCTTGTGATATTAAGCATTCGTAAGCATTTGCTTCATTTTCCCATTGAAAACAGTTATTCATTTGTGAAAGCCAAAAATAAGTCTTCTTTTGTGGTTCAATTTTCTCTCTTTCTGGTTCTGTTTATGCCTCTTTCCATCCATTATTGTTCAGCTTGTCTCTGACTCAGTTGATTGTGCTTCTTTCTCTGCGCTTGCCTTTTGACTGATGGTCATTTAATTGCTTCTCAATTTTCCCATGCCTGTCTTTTTCTCCCGCTCTCCGCCCTCAGCACACCCCCATCCCCCTGCCAAAGGAGTACGATGACGACTCTCTCATCCCGAGCAGCCCGGCTACAGAGACTTCAGACAACGTCAGCCCCGTGGCCAGCCCCATTCACACCGGGTCAGATAATACAACGTGTTGCTGCCTGTTAATCCACATTTTTGGAATACTTAAATATGTCATTGATTGATTCTGCTAGTCAGGCTCAGCATGAAGCAGGGGTTTTGTCAGACTCAGTGAGATTACAAGTACTTCATAAAATGCATGCAGGGCAGAGAAGATGAAATAAAGGGGACGATTATCAGAATGTACATGTAAGTATGCTAAGGACAGGGGTCTCCTTTTTAACTTACTTTGATTAGATAATAATTGATAGTTATACAAAGAAAAAACAGAGGAACATATTCACATTTTTAGCAATAATTCATCATTGCTAAAGTTGTGACATCCTTGACATCCAAACATCAATGATGCCGAGACTGAAGCACAGATACTCCGTTCTCCATAATTACAGATTCAGCATTTACACTGTTTATGACGATGACAGATCAAAGATACATGTTGGTCACTTGAGGATCATACAAAAAACATAACTGTCACAATGTTTACACTTTGATTAGATTGTAAATCAGAATCAGAAACAGGTTTATTGCCAGGTAGGTTCACACATACGAGGAATTTGACTTGATGCCATGGTGCATACGTAAAATATATATAAGGACACCGTAATAAAATATAGGTAAATAGCAATAAAATAAAGCAGTAATTTACATTCAATACATGAAAGTAAGGCATTTTTTAAGAAATGCATAATGTTAAAGCAGCATCATGTTAATCTGCCTTGTCTTAATTTATGCACGGCACAATGAGTCAGCATTTAAAATGCAGAATATAAAGTGAGGGTATTAGCAAAGATAAACCATGAGAGAAGAGTCACCCTGCCACACACACACACACACACACACACACACACACACACACACACACACACACACACACACACACACACAACACACACACACACACACACACACACACACACACACACACACACACACACACAAACACACACGCACACACACGCACACCCCTGTATGAGGCTGCCAGCCTAATGCAAGATCAAACAGCATGGGGCTCTTTTTTTAGGTCTTTGATGTCATCCTTGCTGCACTTCAGGGCCACTCCAGATGGCCGGCCCTCCTCTGCCACATTGAGAACAATGAAAGGAAAAGGGCACCCACATACCGAATGAGTGTCTCCTCTATTAATCACCCTGAAACAGACCAAGACCAGATCAATTCCGAACACTACTGAATGAAGTCTTCTCTCTCATTCAGGGGGAGAATTTCCCAGAGGAGAGCCCAGTATTGATTCTTAAATGTTATATTCCTAACCGACATTATTGAACTCTAAATTCATCTTAATCACCATTTCATATCATTTGAAGATGATTAAATGATCGTGCAATCCTTTTTTAAATGTAATCATCGTGTCATTGTTTGTCTCTCAGCTTCCTGGTGAGTTTCATGGTGGACGCTCGAGGAGGCTCCATGCGCGGCAGCAGACATCACGGCCTGCGAGTCATCATCCCGCCGCGCACCTGCACCGCGCCGACACGCATCACCTGCCGCCTGGTCAAACCTCTGAAATTGACCACGCCCCCTCCGCTGGTGGAGGGGGAGGGGCTCGCTAGCCGTATCATCTCCTTAGGGCCGTCCAGTATGCAGTTCCTTGGGTGAGTCAACGTTTTTCCAGCTTTATGGCCTCCCTAGAAGCAATTTTATTTGTTCTGGGTCAGCCTGTATGTGCGTTTATGTTTAGCATGTGGCAGTACCTAGATAGGATATGGATGCTTTTTTAATTTTTTTGTGTTCATAATAATATTAAAGAAATGTAATAATATCATATGTTTTCTGTTAAATATTTACTTGTTTAGTTTCCTGCAATTTTTATAAAAAATGTGTTATTGTAAGATATGCTGGAAATGCATCCCAAATTCCAAATGAGACTGACACTAGAGGTAACAATAACTTGAACTGGATTTTATTGTAAGATAATGACAAAAATGTGTAATATAAATGACAAGCTTATGGTTAGGATGCCATCTAGTGGACAATCATGGCTCTGTATATCTCAGCACAAGGCTGTAAATGATTGTACAATCCATGCAACAGTAACACAATCCAATGTTTCGGTTTGAACTAGATTACATATATAATAATACATGTTATTTATATAGCGCTTTTCCTGGTGATCAGAGTGCTTTTACATCCCAAATGAACAGAAAAAGCCTGAAACCTGATTCAAACCATGATTTTCATTCAGTTTTTGTTTTCTCTCACAGGCCAGTGATAGTAGAAATCCCTCACTTTGCCTCTCTGGGCCGAGGGGACCGGGAGCTCGTGGTCCTCCGCAGCGAAAACGGCTCGGTCTGGAAGGAGCATCGCAATCGCTATGGTGACGAAGTGCTGGAAACTATCCTGAATGGCATGGATGAAGGTCAGTACGATGTAACTAATGACTGTTCCTGAGACCTTGCACGGCGACAGATAAGACAGTCCTAATCTTGATGTATGACCCTGGAGCTCCAGAGCAAAGGCACAGGAAGGAGAGGGGATACTTTTTTATGGGAATACTATGGAAGAACACAGAAGTGCACTTTTTCTCACATGGAAACCCATTATTACACTGAAATTAACTCTCCTCTTACCATGGATCCCTCTGTGTCTCCTTCCTCTTCCTGTGCGTAGACCTCGAGAATCACGATGAGCTGGACAAGAAGAGAATCCGTCGGATCATCTCCACTGACTTCCCCCTCTACTTTGCCGTGGTCTCCCGCATTCAGCAGGAGAGCGATCTGATTGGTCCAGAGGGCGCTCGGTTGACCAGTAAGCTAGTGCCACGAGTCGAGGCCATTTTTCCCGAGACGGCCGTCACCAAGAGAGTGAGACTGGGGCTGCAGGTAAGACGAGGAGATGGAAGGAATGAACAAGAGGAGAGTGGATTGCACATTTAAAAACATGACATTAAAGATCCTGTAGAGCTTTTTTGATTAGCTTAGGTGTTTGTTGCTTTGCTCGCAGAACTGAGACAATCGGCTGCTTTTGATCAATTACAGAGAACAGATGTTTGAAGTACAAAACAGCTGACTCTCAGTGTGTGACTTAATGGTCCGTGCCAACGAGTTTACCTTCAGTCTGTGCTGCGCTGTGGAGAGTTGACAGGTTCCATATCCTGAAGTTGATGATCTGTCTGTTTGACAAACGACAGGCCTAAATATGTTTGAGCCGTGCTATCCATCATTGAGACTGAGTGTGTGCTTCAATCTTGCTGTTTGAACAAAGTTCATGAATTATTCTATCAGTTGTTGCGAACGCAACAGGCAGCCAATCCATTTTAGACTCTGGCCGTTTTTCAATGTCGAGTAAAGCTGCTTCAGAGCCACTGTTTAAGTATACTACGTCATCGAGTGGCGCCGAAGGACTGTTTAAATGCATGTTAAATGCCCAGCATTCGGTGCCACTCGATGACGTAGTATACTTGAAATGGTGGCTCTGCAGCAGCTATACTCGACATTGAGAAACGGCCCCTGTATTTGTGTATCCAGTATTTACTACAAATCTTTAGCTGAACCTGATCTGAATCCAACAACTCCAAAAAAAGAAAATTATGAAACATCTAAAGGATGTTGAAATGCCTTAGCAACTGGTCACCAGAATGTCAAATATTTTGTATTTATTTGTACTAAATGTCTAAAATATTCAAAAACAGTGGTATGGTTATTTACTATTTTAAACATTAACCTCTTCCTCTTAGATTCGTGTTATGTCATAGGTTTGAAGCACCTTTTTTTTAATTTCTTTGTGACATTAAAAAGTCATGACTACATCAGCAAAAATCTAAGTTTACATGTTGGAAGAAAATCAGGGTAAACCAGAGTTTAACGCTGACAAACTCATTTTACTGACTGTGCTGACAACATTAACAAACGTCCACTCAACATGTTTCATTTCAAACGTCGCTAAACTCTGATTGCTGCCTTGAAGTAAGTGGCATCACCTTTTTGTTCCAACAATGCATCGTGTAAAATTAACAAAACTCTTTTAAATTACACTGACATATTAAGGGTCTTTTTAAAGACTATAAAAAGCATAAAGTAGCCAAAACTAGACCTGAGATATATCACATTGTGTCATGTCATACTGCACCATTTCTAAATTAGCATGCGTACAGGGTGTCTGTCTGCAAATGTGTGTTTGACTGTCCGCAGACACACATACAGGAACTTGGTTTAACTCATGCTGACTGCCTTTTTTGTTTTTGTGGAGATTATGACGGATTATGGGTTCTCCACATTTTTTATTTTTGGTCACTTCACATTGTTTACATTTCACATTGTCCGTCAGAGCACTGATTGGTCACAGCACTGATGTTATTTCAGGAACCTGCATGGGTCAGAGTCTTTGCTTTGCCTTATGCTGCTCTGTTTATGTTTTTCCTTTTTGATCCAGCCATTCATCACTCCTCAGTTGCCTGATTTAAGTTGTGAGCCACACTGACCGAGCTGATGCACTGATCTGAGCTGGGTCAGGTGTGAAATATGAGTTGGTTGCATGTGTGAGTATGGCTGTGGATTTCATGTTTCAGTCAATTGCACATTTTCTTTTTGTATCCTCCCCTTACTTCTATTCCCTGCCTTTGCACACTCCTTTAGAAACACCTACCTGTACTTCCTGCCGTTTTATATTGTGTTTGTGCTTCTCTTCCCCCCAGCCTTCTTGACCTCCATTTCCTTCAAACTACCTTTTTTGTGCATCTTTCTTTTTAACGAGCTTATCCTCCACCACTTACTTCTCAGGCGCAGCCAATCCCCGATGAACTGCTGACTCAGCAGCTTGGCAACCAGGCGACCTTCAGCCCAGTTGTCACCATCGAACCACGGCGACGCAAATTCCACCGTCCAATCGGGTTGCGCATCCCTCTGCCGCCATCCTGGCGGGAGAGTCCTCGAGATGCTGGGGAGGGCGACACCACCAGCCTGCGCCTCCTCTGCAGTGTCATCGGTAGGAGCCACATGACCTTTCAACATTATTTTTATTTTGGATTTATTGGATTGGTCTAATGTGCTGCAAAAGGGTGTATTTGTACATGTTTTATTTTTTGCTTTTTACACGGCTTAGTTGAATACTTAATTCTGATTGGTCAATTTGGATATTCAGCAGTCTGCTCTTTTTTGATAACAGACTGTTGCTATGGCTACTCTGATTGAGGGACTGTGTGCATTCATATCAATCCGCGGAAAGAAGTCCGGTCAATGTATGATCAGCTGTGGTAAAAAAAAAAACATTAGTTTTCCTTTACCATACTTTTTGAATATTCATTTTTAAATGTGTGTGCAGTTCAGCCATTGGTACTAGAATGGACCGTTTTTTCTTAGCAGAAGCAATACAATCATTATTATTCAATAAAATCAGGTTGTAATCAATATTTTATGTCGAAATTCAGGTTTTTTGTTTCTAAGTAGCCGTGTAATACGAAGGTTAATATGTCCTGCTCACCCTGTGGGGGGTGACCGTCTTGCTGTCTTTTGTCCTTACATGAATGACACAATGTAGCTATTATCTCTCAGGTGGCACAGCTCCAGCTCAGTGGGAAGACATCACTGGAACCACGAAGCTAATGTACGCACACAGCTGTGCCAACTTCACCACCAACGTTTCTGCAAGGTGAGCCCCTCAGCGGAACTCAAAACAAACGCATTACCAATCAGCTTTCCCTGCTCCCTTTGCACACTTCTTATTTATCTTCTCCTACCTTATCTAGATTCTGGCTGGCAGACTGTCCGCGCACGGCAGAGGCAGTGACCTTTGCCAATTTGCTGTACCGCGAGTTGATGGCTGTTCCATATATGGCCAAGTTTGTTGTTTTTGCTAAGATGAATGAAGCACGTGAGGGACGCTTGCGTTGTTACTGCATGACAGATGACAAGATGGACAAAACACTGGAGCTGCATGAAAACTTCACCGAAGTGGCCCGCAGTCGAGACATAGAGGTCAGCACAGTGGCAAAGCAAGATGTTGCCAAGGTCACAAAAAGGGAAAAGTGTTGAGGAAAGCAAGGAGGGCTTATTCAAATGTATTGCATTTTCATAACCCTTAACATGGGAAAAATATGTATCGGCCCACTTTTGAGCAATTGATAGTTTCGAAAGAATGATATCCATAAATAAAGTTGAATTGTAGCTACTAAAAAGTCAATAGCATAAGATGATGCAAGAAGCATGCTAAAGAGAAAAGACACTAACACTACTGCTGGCATTGCTTCCAAAACGTCTCCATCTTTGAGACATGATCCTGGAATTAGAGAGTGTTCTTCAATGCAGAGGAGTAGGAGTTTGTGTCTTAAGATATTGATCCACACTGGCTGTTTAAAAGAACGATTAGACTCCATTGCTGATATGATATGATTTATCTTGTCTAGGGCTGCAACTACTGATTATGTTCTTTATCGATTGATCCGCCATTCATTATTTCAAGTAGTACACAATCAAAGTCTATGAAGTGGCCTTCTTGTTTGATCAAATACCCAACAAATATATTATATGACAAAGAAAAGAGGCTTGAATCCAAGTATTGTATCAATTTCTGCTTGAAAAATGACTGAAAGGATGAATCGATAAATCAAAATAGTATTGCCATTATGTCGACTGATCAACTTAACGGTTCAGCTTTAATCCTGTACCCGTTAACATCTACTAAAAACTTCCCCCAGCTTATGGAGGGCATGCCGCTGCACCTAGAATGTTCCGGAAACCTGGTGCCCATCAGGAAGGCCACGCAGCAGCCTCGCAGCTTCAGCTTCCAGGCCTTCAGAGACAACCGGCTGCCCGTCTCCGTCAAGGTCTGTCTCTATCCGACCAATCACACGCCTGCTTTTCTCTCACTCTCTACGTATTCCTACAGTACTGTGGTTATGTGTGACCAGTGTTTTCAAGAATCCTCTCGGCAGTTAGTCCTCTTGAGCACCCACACAACCTGTCCATACGGTGGTCTCTGTGCTTTCCGCTGTCATTCCTATCAGGCAGTCTCTCACCATTAGCATGTTAAAGTTGAAATAACAGTCGGCGCTTTCTACTCCAAATACAATCAGCTACACCACGCCAAGAAAGTGAAATACACCTGAAAATAGACTAGACGCATAATCATTCTACTTACACATTGAGTCTTATCTCACTATATATTCATACAGTTTGAAAGTATTTCAGTAAAGATGATTTCTATTAATGATTTATCGATACATTACTTGTCTACCGGTCCATTCTTCTTCGTGTTTGTCAAATCATTCTTCCTCCACAAATGACAAATCAAGCAAATGTGTCACTGGTTTGTGTGGTTCATTATATATTTGAACTGAATATGTAATAATCAGGGTTCGTACAGTCATTAAAAACCTGGAAAAGTCATGGAAATTCAAAATGCAAATTCCAGGCCCTGGAAAAGTTATGGAAAACAATATTTTCCCCAAAGTTTTGGAAAAGTCATGGAAATTTAACTAAAGTTGCATCAAATATAATTTATATTTGAGCTAATTGCCGAAATAGTAATACTATAATGATAATACATACTGTATCATATAGTAATGAAACGTAAAATAGCATTTAACTGATGAGGTATTTTGCTGGTGAGAGATTTAAGTTGCTTTAGCGTGTAGAAGCTAGTTAGCCTATTTGATTTGTTTTAGATAGGCACAACATGTCTCATATGCAGACCTTATTTTCCTGTTCCATGTTAAAATATATCGTTTTCAGTGGTACTGCTGAGAAAGAGTAATTCTTTTGATCATGAAAAATTAGGTAAAGGTCATGGAGAAGTCATGGAAGAGTCATTGAAAATCATTGGTGAAAAAGTGAATGAACCCTGAATAATAAACCTTCTCCCTAATGTATAGGTTGCATTACTGTAAAATAAGTACATTTTCAGATCATAGTTGTCATTGCTTTGTACCTAATCTGTGTTTCAGTGATGTTTTCAAACCCATTCTTACAAACATATCCTAGTATATAATAATTGAGTCAGTCTGCTTTTTCTCGTCTCTTCATATCTGTTATCGTATTGATGTAAGTTTGTATTGTGTTGCTTTATTTGATTTGATTATCCATCTATATGTATATCAGTGTTTCTGTGTGTCTGTCAGTTTACCACACTGCTGTTCAGCCTCAGCTAAATGATAAAAACCCTTTCATTATGGCGTAGCCAAGGAACAAACAACTTACCTACTTACGTCCTGTCAGCTCTCTTTGGTAATCGTTTGCATGTCGTGTGACTCCCACTTTCTTTGCCTGCCTTCCTATCTTGCGGCCTTGCCTGTGTGTACGTGTCTGTCTCACTGTCTCTCTTTCTCCCTCTCACGGTCACTCTGTCACTGTCTGGTCTGACAGACGTCCAGGTAAACTGTGCAGGTAAATCTCTCCCTCTCGCCTGCCTGTGGACTGCTTCCATCCCTGTTTCCCCCTGCTTCTCGTCCCATGTTACTGCACCACATGCTCCAGACATGGCGGACGACTCTAATACCCGTTTTCATCTGTTTTCTATTCCTCCTCCTCCTCCTCCTCTCTTGCTCTGTTTCACTCTTTTCTTCTCTCGTTACCCTTTCATTACTCCATCTCTTTTTAACTCTACTGTTCACCCTTCTCTCTTCCATTACTCCTCTTGGTATTTTTTTCTTCTCCATTTTTCTGTTCTTCTCTCTTCTCTCTGTTGGCCTTTTCTCTTTTTCCCTGTTAGGTCAGAGATAGTAACAAGGAAGCCAATGGGTTTCTCTCCTTTCTGCGGAAGTGCACCAAGTACGAGGACACACAGCACGTTCTGTGTAACCTAAACATAACCATGCCACCCTGTGTCAAGGTAAGAACTCTTTTATGTCTTCAGTTTACCTAGTTTCTTCATCCAAATAAGTTCTCAGTTCATCTCAAAGGTTTAAAACAATACTTTGCTATTGTGCCAGTCTTACCAATTGTGTGTCTGAGGCAGGATTTCGTGAGCCATTATTTGCCAAACATGATTGGCCAGATGAAAGTTGGACTATACTGAATATTATACGTAATACTAGTGAAGAAATGTGTTTGAAACATTTCCAAAATTTGAAATGCTGAATGCTTTATTGCAAGATTAATGAACGCACTGCATATCTACAGTATATTTTAACTTTAACATAAGAGTAAAACTCATTTAGATAATTGTTGATTGCTGATCAATTTCAAACATTGTTGAATTGCTTTACCCATTTACCGCCTCCCCTTTAATGTGGCGGTTCCCCGAGATGAAAACAGATGGACCAATTTCGATTGTTAAAAATATACGATAGTTTTAAGGATTATTCATTTGTTGAATTGACGGACTGCTTTTAAGGTCTGGAGTTGCCTGTATCTTTAAGGTTTATTGGATACTCTGCTCTGCATTAAACCCAAAATATTGTTAAGACAGGATAGTCCTTTAGAAATGACAAATACACGTGTACAAATATTTTATATATTAATACATGCTCATATTTATGTATCTTTATTGTATCAGCAGTCCGCCGAATCTAACAGTTGGCTAAACAAGTTTAAGAAGTGATTCATTATTGACGCCTTTGACATTAAATATAATTGAATGTTGTTCTTGGTTTAATTATTAGGTTGTTGGAAGTGAGGAGCGCAGGCGGACCCTGACCCCCCTCGCCCTGAGGGAACGCTACAGCGCGCTGAACGAGCCCGGTGTGGGTGAGTCCTTCACTGCCCGACCTCCAGCCCTCTCCTGATTTACTCACGGTGGAGATGGGCACTGAATGTTGCACCGCCCCTTTTACCCACAACCCCTGTTCTTCCCACTCTGCCCTCATTATTCTCCCCCCTATCTGTCTCTCGCGTGCACGCATGGCACAAAGACCGAACCTTGGATGCAATGCACTGTTCTACAGTATGCCCCAGAGTCCTTTGCAGTGCAGTTAGAGGAAATAATATCAAAATGATGAGCCCGAACACGACCCATAATAGCACCATGACACGTTAGCCTTTCCTTGGAAACGAGTGTCCTGGTAGCAACAGATGAATGACTTATGTGAACAGTTTGCATGGCGCTAGTGTCTCCACTGCGATTTCCAACCGCATGGCAGCAGATACTGTAAGCATTAGCACCTTAGCTTAGCATCGGGAATGGGAAGGACCTCGCAGTGGAGCTAGACAGAGGAGCCCTCATGCTGATTGGCCAGTTGTAAATTAAACAGAGTCAAGATGGCCGCTCTGGTTGGTTAAAACGTTGCTGAAGGCTGAGTTAAGAAGAAAAGGCCTTTTCTGTCTATCACACAGCGCTGTTACATTGCACCTCAGTCCCTCTGTAATGTTTACTGAATGCTACTTTGACTGGTGGGACTAGCACCTGAATGACCCCCCCTTCCCCTCCCAAATTATAACCGCCCCCTGCCCATATGGTGTTTTAACCCTGAAAATGATTTAGACAAAAAAACAAATGTTGTGGCTATTGCTGATTTCCTTCAACAGAACAATGCTTTTCCCAAGGTAAGTACTGCTGTTGACAGTTTTAATATAAACTTAAGTCATTGAGGACACAGAAGACTTATTCAAAATCCTGTCTGCCGTCAATAACACACATTTGGATGGTCCAAAGTTGATATTATCTGACCACTAAACCCCAAATTTTAGTCACTTGAATATCAGCTGGTCTGTCCAAACACTGGAATTAAGACTTCTTATTTATTTATTTTATTTTAGTTCAGGATATAATCTCCTCAGTTAAGTGTTCACATATTTAACACCGGCACGGCAGCGAGTTTCTAATTGGGATGCTGTGTTTCCCCCTTATTTTTCATTTAAGCCACAGTGAATGCCATGGAGAGGACTGAACTCAAGATCAACCTCATATCTGAACAGCTGGGTCTGAGCTGGGCAGGTTAGTTCTTTAAATATCAAACAAGCTTTGTATCTCTCTGTCTTTGTAGCTCTCTTTTATTTACCTACCTGTCCTTTTGTCAGAGTTGGCACGTGAGCTTCAGTTTGGTGTGGACGACATTAACAGGATCCGTGTGGAGAATCCCAACTCGCTGCTGGACCAAAGCTCCGCCCTGCTTAACCTGTGGGCTGGCAGGGAAGGCAAAAGAGCCAAGAGTAAGTCCCATACTACTGTTTATCTCTTAGAAATGAGAAATGATCTGTACAAATGAACTGCTGTAAGGCACAGATGTTGATTGCTACTGGTTTGTTATCCCCGTTAGGCGTAAGCTGGTGGGGAGACCATTTGTTTCTGTGTATGGCTATCTATCAACAGCTAACCTTGCTTATTACTGGACCCATCAGCCTAATAATTGTTGTGCTCATTTATAACTTTACAATCAAGGGCCTCTTTGGGTGACAGTGATTCACACTTTTTAAAAACCTATTTTAATGCCTGTTTTATTGAGTGAACGTTTACTTTTTTGGCCTTTGTTACGGTTCAAAAACTGCCACCCATAGAACAGATTTAAGCTGGAGCAGCTAAGGATTAATTCTCTATTCTATATCAGGGGTGTCAAACTCAAGGCCCGGGGGCCAAATCCGGCCCGTGATTTCATTTGATGCGGCCCCAAAAGAGCTTGCAAAGAATATAATATGTTTATTATAAGGTTACATGCCGATTTACAGAAGCACGTTGCCCATAAACTACATGTCCCACAATGCATCTCAAATTTGATCAAATCACTTTCTTTATTCAAAATATTCATTTTTTCTCAGAATCTGACTTTTTTTTCAAAATGTGGCTTTTCTTTTTAATCATTTTGTGACGTTCTCACTGAAGAGACTTATGAAGTTATTACCCTATCCGATAATAATCCAATGCAGAGGCAATAATGTAATATAATACATTATTTTATATATATTAAATATTTATATATGTATTTTTTGTATGTGTATAAAACTGGCCCTTTGAGTGAAACCATCATGCTAATGTGGCCCGAGATGAAATTGAGTTTGACACCCCTGTTCTATATGATGTGATCCACTACGGTTAGACATGTTACAAATGAGTAAATCCCATTCCGTGAGTCTGTTTTTGTCTATTCAATTGTCAGATTGTCTTTTTGACGAAACATAATGCTCTCTAAAATATGTTTGACTTCCCTGTCCACGTCCCATGCCTCCCTGTTTTTCTCCCTGTCTCTGTTACCTGTCTCCCTCCCCACTCCCTGTGTTTCCCTCTCAGTGGAGAGCCTCTACACAGCTCTGAAGAACATCGATCGTGCCGACATCATTACCTCTCTGGAGGGTCAGCCTCAACAGCTGGTGCCCGGGTCTTTAGAGGTGGGGGCCTGCCGACTCAGCGACCGCGACTCCACCCTGCTGTCCCCCAGCGTCCTCAATGGTGAGACACACAAACACGTCAAACATCACAGAAGACGTCAACTATTTATATCCTTATCAATGAACAGTGAATTAACCCGCTACATTCAAACAGCAACTTTGAAATAATTTCATCTTTTATTTACGACCCGTCCACACTACAGCTTCAAAAAAAGCTTGCCGGCGGGCGTGTCTGAAGCTCGACCAACAACCAATCACATGAATCTCCCGCCCCTGACACACAAGCAGCGGTTTGATTGGCTAGAGCTTGTACCAGCATATGATTTGATTGGCTGACGCTTCCACCGAAAGCTTCAGAAGCTTCAAAGGTTGAACATTGCTCAACTTTTGCAGCCTGAAACGCCAGGAAAGCTCCGCTCTGCTACCCACAATTCAGTTCGGCGAAAAGCGAGGCAACGTGACGTCACCCCATTCAAAGTGAATGGGCAGACGCGTTGGAAACCGTTTTTGAAGCTGTCGAAGCTGTAGTGTAGACGGGCCGTAAGTCTTACCGCCTTGTTACACTAAAGTCAGTCTATCTCCAAGGTTAGATCTTTTGACTTTACCTTAAATAGCAAGTTATAAATCCATTTCTATTATGAGACTAGAATAAGATTCCCCATTCAGGGTATGTTTGAATAATGCCAAAATGTGATTGTAAATAGGGCTGGACAATTTTAAGGAAAAACAAATTGCCATTACTTTATTTTTTAACTGATATCACCATTGATTACGACATTAGGATTTTGATATTTTTTTATTATCATTGAAAAATATATTAAATTATTTATTTTATTTTATTTTTTAAGATGATCTGTAGAATGTGATTTTCTGGGTAGTATTCCTCTGCAGCTTTAAATTACTTTTTTCAATATATTATTTAACAGTTTAATTGTGCGGCCCTAATTGTCATTCATTAAAAGTGTTGAGGGCAATATATGGAATGAATACTAGTATTTTCATGGTTGGACTGATGTCTGATTGTTCAATGATGTGATCAAAAAAAGGAACATTTAAACTTAAGACAGAATTTGGATTCAAACTTAATAGGAGGCTCGATTACTTCAATTGCAGAGTAAGCAATTTGATGTACTTGGTAGTTTTTGATCAAAGATGATTTCTAAAATGCTTAATAATTCAAGATGTTTCACTTGAGAAGCTTGTTATTCTACCATTATTTCACAATTATTATTGCCCCTAGAATGTGTTCACTCAGACAAATATATTGGTTCCAACAGTTGGTATATTCAGCTCTACTTAAAATCGTAGAAGAAATTCTTAAACAGGAGTTTTGGTACCAGCCGTTTTACTTTGTTTCTGTTGCTCCACAAGAGGTCACGGACAAAAGGCCAACGCGCCATGTGCGCAAGCCCCGAGTTATTAGACCCCCGTTTTTCAGAAGGGGTAAGTTGAAGGGGAGTCGGGCTGCATGGTGGTTTGCTGATGATGATGATGATGATGATGATGATGATGATGATGATGATGATGATGATGATGATGATGATGATGATGATTGGTAATGAAGCTGAGATGATGTTTCTGAGATTTGAGGAATGGTGTCATTCTCCCACCATGAACCCAGCCTTCTGCAGCATGCACTAACGCCGCCTGGGCCACTGCCATTTATTACACCTCATACTGGAGCCCTAAACATGACGTTTTGATTCTTCTTACCTCATATGAGAAACACTCACATTTGCTATAACTGACATCATTTTAAAAGTAATAAACAAGTCAACACTTGATTCATTTCTGATTTTCAATTTAGTATGTTTGAGATTGTTTTAGATTATGTGTGTGTGTGTGTGTGTGTGTGTGTGTGTGTGTGTGTGTGTGTGTGTGTGTGTGTGTGTGTGTGTGTGTGTGTGTGTGTGTGTGTGTGTACATGTGTGTGGGATGGTGCACTACTCAAAAGTGGTTCACAGATGATAGTGTGCTCTGGGCCTTCATACCTTGTTTCTCTCTCTTCTTCTTTCTTTCTTTCTCTCTTTCTTTCACTGGGAAAGAGACAGACATATTTAGTTTGATTGACAGCTGACATTGCAACACAACTACAATGCTCTGGTCGTCTCAAAGTGTCTCCTTTGCTCAGGACAGTCTCTCTCTCTCTTTCCGTCCTTCCTTCAGTCTGTCTCTGAACCTGTGACATGTCATATCCGCTGCCCAGCCGCCCTGCTCCTCCTCTTCCTCCCCTGTCCTGCTCTTCTTCCTCACAGCTCTTCCTGTCCGACCTCTGACCTCATATGACCTCATGTTGACCTCTGGGCCTCCTCCTTCTCTTGCCATCTTATTCTCCTGCGCTCCTCCCCCGTTCAGTCGAGTGGGGACCCTCTCCTCCTCCTCCTCTCTCAATCAGCTCTGTGTGTGTACTACAGTTTGTGCATGTGCATGCCGCATGCTTTGCTGTTACAGTGTGTGTGTGTGTGTGTGTGTGTGTGTGTGTGTGTGTGTGTGTGTGTGTGTGTGTGTGTGCGTGTTTCAGACCTGGGTTTAGTTAATAATAAAATAACTTTAATTTGTTCCTGCTTGCAAAGATTTGATTTGCATATATTATAATTGTTTTCAAACAGGAAGTCTTTGAATTTCCTTGCAAGACAAAGTGTTCTTAGTATTATAATTGTTTGTATTTGGAAAAAAGGTCTTAAAACCCAGTTGTACCCAGGTGTCCTTTAGATGGTTTGGTGTGAACAGTGACTGGGACGAGTGAGTTTCCTGAAAACAATTAACTGCTTTTGATTCTGACATCTTTATGTGCATGGCATGCTTTCAATGTACAGTCTTAAATGTTTTCTCTGTTCAATGGGTGTATTTCAGTCTCGTTTTGTAATGCTTTATTAACAAACAAATGTGTGGTTTTTTGTAATTTTTAACCTGTAAAATAAATGTTGTTGTGTTTAATGCTACGCTGTAACATGGTCAGCTGCATAGTACATAATGTTCTATGTACAATGTTGCTGTGGCACGATGTCTTTCATCCATGGGCAAAGTGAATCCTATTCCTCAGTGTTAGATCCATGGGACTGTACTTTTTGTCTCTTATTATACACTGAACAAAAATATAAATGCAACACTTTTGTTTTTGCTCCCATTTTTCATGAGATGAACTCAAAGATCTAAAATATTTTCTATATACACGAAATAACCATTTCTCTCAAATATTGTTCACAAATCTGAAAAAATCTGTGATAGTGAGCACTTCTCCTTTGCCCAGTAAATGACACATACTAAGTTACTTACATTTGACAGTAAGAGGTACTGACATGTTAGGGTTAGGGTTAAACCCTAAAACATTTTTTAATGTGTCAGTGGGTGACATGTTAGGGTTAGGGTTAAACCTGACAGGTTTTCGGACCCCCCCAGACCCCCCCAATAAAGCAAAACTGCACGTTTCAGAGTGGCCTTTTATTGTGGCCAGTCTAAGGCACACCTGTGCAATAATCATGCTGTCTAATCAGCATCTTGATATGCCACACCTGTGAGGTGGGATGGATTATCTCGGCAAAGGAGAAGTGCTCACTATCACAGATTTTTTCAGATTTGTGAACAATATTTGAGAGAAATGGTTATTTTGTGTATATAGAAAATGTTTTAGATCTTTGAGTTCATCTCATGAAAAATGGGAGCAAAAACAAAAGTGTTGCGTTTATATTTTTGTTCAGTGTAAATATCAGAATTGTTCTTCATCAAAATCAGTCTACATCCCGACATTTAAAGAGACAGTTTACTTTTTTTTTGTGGGTTTTGTATTAGGTCAGTGTTTTACCTACAATAGCTGGAAGTTTGGTAAAGCAGAGAAAAATACTGGAATGGAAGCTAAGCGATGTGCTGCTTTGAACAGGTCGATGTATTTTAGCCACCAAAAGAAAACAGTCAGACATTTGAACTTGCAGAACACAGAAATCTCAGCTATAGACCAGCAGGGAAAAGAAGAATATATCTTTATTTGTTATCATACAAAGTACAACAACATTTCTTTAGCAACTCACACTGCAGTAAAAAATAGACACAATAAATAAATTAGAGTGGTAAAAGCAGAGGTAGTAGCGATGACAGTGCAAGGAGATCAAATTCAGTGTCATATTTACACTTACAGTCTAAATATATATTAGTAAAATAGCCATAAGTATGTCTAAATAGTAGTGCTTGCAGTATGGAATCGATGGGAAGTATAATGGCTTCAAAAGATGCTGTCTGACTGCAAATTAAAGAGGACAAATCTAAATATAGCATACACCTAAACTGATAAAGATATATTGTTTTACATGGCAAGATATTTTTTGCCATAGCAAAACAGTGCTTTATTTCCCTGCTTTTACCCCGGTCTGTTTCTCTAATCTGCCATCTGCTGTAGGCAATACACTGACTATGTATAAGTACCTCATACAACCCCACTTCAAACACAAGCTATGACTTTAATTAGATTTGTATAACCGATGTGTTGCCCATGTGTGACGACGGACTCCCCGTTAACATTGTCTAAACGTTATCTGCCAGCAGGGATATTGCTTCGAGGTGTGTTTGTGTGTTGGTTTGGGTGTGTGTGATGATTTGTGTGCATTTGAGGCTCACCTGTGGGCTAGAAGTGTGTGTCCTCATCTAAATATAAGTGCAGTTTTGTGAGTGTGTGTGTGTGTAAAGTGGTGGTGTGCTGTGCAGTGTGTTTGTTTTCTGTTGTTTTCTTGTGCTATGACAATCTCTGTGGAGTTTATTTGTGCTTCACCACATCCTGTGCCTTTGACACCTGTGTGTGTGTGTGTGTGTGTCTGTGTATGTGTGTGTTCTAAATAGCAGGAGCGAAGGGAAAGGCTAACCCAGATTCATTTAACTCTCATTCTAATGCTCACTCATTCCTCCCTGTTCCCCTCATTCTGACGCCACATCCCATCATCCTGGCCCTCTACCATCCCAGAAACACACACACATGCTTACTCACATGTAATCCATACACACATACACTCTGAGACAACTACTCAGTAAAGAGGTATTTCACCCATTAATACATATTTTGTATTGACCATAGATTTTATGGCTTGCGTTCTGTTTGCAACAATTTGACCAGAAATGATTTAAATCTGAAATTAGAAAGTAAGGTAGATTTTGCTATTTTGTATCACTCAATCATTTTCTTACAAAAGCTGTACATTACCATATATATATATATATATACGAGTTTGAAATGGGTCCTGACGTAGGATAATGTTAATTATGGACCATATACAGCTAGCTACATCCTTTCGTAGTGTTCCACAGCTATATTACGGCAGGTTCGATTAGATAAATGTTATGTATTTTCTCAAGTAAGCATTCTTTTCTTTCATATTCCTTCAAATGAAGGCTTATTGCCTGGTGCGTTTTCACTGACTAGGAAATGTATTGGTGTTTGGTGCATACAATACACATTCACAGGAACTGAAATGACAAGGAAAGTACAAGGTCGAGGACAAAACATAGAACAAAATGAATATATATGTAATAGACAATGAAAATATAAAAATGATTATAACAAATGTGTACAACCATGATCAAAATCTGTTTTTTAAATGTATTTGATTTAACAAAATAACTATACTGTAGTTGATCTAATTGAAGCACAGCAGTGTGAACGCATCCTCACATTCATTCTGGGTGAAGTACTCCGTTACTGTTCAGTTTTGCCTTATTTCATTCATCTGAAAACATTGATGAAACATTTGAACTCAGAGTAATCGGGCTTCCCCGATCCAAACAGGTCACATATACAAAAGTATTGCTGTCTTCAAATATCACTAATGAAAAACACAGACTGTTAGATTATAAGGTTCATTCACTTTTCAACATTTATTTCTAAAGGTTGTTTACCACGTCTTGATGTAGAACTCATATCATAGATAATGAATGAAAATGCTCCCAATCATATTATTAAAGGAAACAAAAGAAAAAACACCAGCGGTGGAAAGAAAACCTACATATCTTAAAAATTAATGAATAAGATAATGTACTAAAATATTTAAATTAAATAACATTTAGAATAAAATCACAAACATATTTAACTGTATTTACTTTTAATCAAAAATATCTATCTTTAAATATGCGCCAAAAAGTACATTTTAGTGAATAATTGACAATGTATCACTGAATATAAAGTGTGTTTGTGTGTGTCTGTCCTTGTGTATTTTACTGGTTTAATCAAGCTCTTTCTTTACAAGTAGCTAATTATAGTTCTATAAAGAAAGTTGTTAAACATATTTTCTTATCGCAAAAATATACATTATTCATTTACTATTAGTTCATAAAAGTAATCTTCCTGAATCTGAAGAGGTTTGCAGAATAACAACAACAAATCATGCTGCAAAATGTGATCAATTCAGTATTCAAAAGGTATCAAATATAGACCAAGTTGTAAAAGTGGCATAATCAGTTAAAAAATCTCTTTCTCTAATGTGTGTGTACGTGTGTGTTAGTGTGTGTGGCCTTTATTTGGATGCCTGGGATGCAGACACAAGCAAACGCATGCCTCTTATGATGCAAGAGCCACAGGATCTTGCATTCAGCAGAATCTGCAAGATGCTACTGACTCCCAATCAGAAACGTGTGAAATGGGTTGGAACGATAATAGATGGTCAAAAACATTTAATAAAGCTTTGATCCTTATATCACAGCTTATTACAAATGTAATGTACAGCACACAGCCTAATCCTTTATTAGTTAACACTCAACAGTTATCTAAAGAAGAACAAAATTCAAATGCTTTTTTTAATTAAATGAACGTACGTAATAAAAGTATGTACTTTAACTACTTTGATTCTAATATTGGTTGTATTAAACCACTATATATGAACATTTAAAATAACCGGCCTCTTTTAACCGTGGCTACTTAAATCCAATTGCGACTTTTTCCTCAGATGTTACTTATGATACATTTATATCGTGCCAACCCCAGGGTTCATATGCTGTATAACTTTAGACTTTTTTGCTCATAAAGAAACAAGTGTATGTTCTGCAGATTCCCTTTCTCTCACTGTGGCAAGCCAGAGCTCTGCACCCGTCACCTCACGGACAACGGGTGATACAGCAAACCCCTCTGACCCTCACCTCACTCTTATCGCTTTGTCCCAATGCCAATTACCAAAGTGCTTGAATCAAACCCACAAATATCAGTCCAAAAACAGTCCATTTTTTGTATGTAGGGTCTGAATTGTTTATCTATATCTATAACAGGTGAACAAATGTTTTGGCAGGATAATTCTTTATTTTATTTTTGTTTAAATGTGGAATGGGTGAAAAAGAAAAGTGCAGGTAGATGCATTTATGATTTCCTTAGCGGCAAGATAATGTAGATAAAAGAGAAATACTCACCACAATGTTACATAACTCTTTTTTCAACCCTTTATAGTGGATATACTTCAGCCTCTTGTGGTCAAAATGAGTGTTACAACAACAATAAATATTCTCTGATTGAAGTCACTTAAATTAATTGAATTGTAATAAATAAACTAAATTGATTCTAGCTTAACATTTATTTTATTAAAGATTATCTTGTCATAACCTTTTTTAAGACATGTTAAGTAATTAACACCAAAGAGAAATTGAACAAGTTCACACTTTGTAAAAAGATCACAATAGATATGTTTTCTATCTTGCCTCCTAAGGCTTCCTTAATAAAATGATTGCTCATTCAATAAAATAGATATATCCTGATCCTACATTATTGGCTTTATAAATCTTGATTCTAGTCCATAGTTGGTATATTGGGACAGGGCTGAGCCCACTGTTTCCTCACAGGTTGGAGAAACAATCAACCCCCCCCCCCCATCCTGCCCCGGCTGTGCCTGCGTGGTGTTAGTCTCTCTTTTGTCTCGCCCTGTCCCCCCTCAGGTTATGGGCTGGTGCAGGATGAGATGCTGTCCCCGGCCTCCATGCAGTACAGCCTGCCCTCCCCTCTGGGAGCAGAGCCCTACTGGCAGGAAGTCTCCAGCCTGGAGTGCGCCCCCATCGCCACCACCGAAGAAGACACGTTAATGGAGATGTCCGATGTTCAGGTGTGGCCCGCGGGGGTCAGCCCCTCATTAGTCACAGTGGAGGACTCCTCATTGGATGGGAGCAGTCGTGCCGACGACTCAGAGGGCACCACGCTCTCCCTCCCCTACAGCTTGGGGCGCCCAAGCAGCGGGGCCAGCGGCTCCATTATGGAGCTGGAGGAGGAAGAGGAGGAGGAGGAAGAGGAGGAGGAGGAAGGGGAGGTTGAGGAGGAGGAGACGCCACAGGAGCCAGCAACTGCTCTGGCAGAATGGGACAGGGTGAGGGCCAGTGGCGCCGTGCCCAAGGTCAACCTGAACGGCCAGCTGGGAGGTCAGAGGTCGGACGGGAGGAGAGGGGAGGTCCTGGCAGTAGGAGGAGGAGGGGGGGGTGTAGGGCTGGGTTCAGTGGAAGGGCTTTCTTTCGTTGCAGGCCAGCAGGTGTACGCCCAGCGGACTGAGATCTCGGGACTGAGTCGAGGGTCGGACCACAACGGGGATAACCGGTACGGTACCTCTTGGCAAATCTACATATGAATCAAGAAACAATAAGAATATAACAATTTGATATTATTTGCTCTCCAGGATGGTGGGAGGCGGCGCGTTTCAGCCTTACCTGGCAGACAAGGACTCGCTGCAGGGCTGGGGGGGCTCGGTGTCGTCGGGGCAGGACGGCAGCGTGCAGGAGGCTCTGCTGACCCCGGTGTGTGACACGAGTTACTCATGTGCTGCAGCGCACGCAGCCCTTTGACAGGGGACGCGGCTTCTCTCCCCAGGAGGCGGGCCTAAGTGCTTGCAGAGCAGAGGCGGGGCCAGGTCAGGTCGCCGACCATCAGTCGCTTCCTGCGCCTGGAGGGGGAACCTCGTTGAAGACAGTCATTATTTTGTCTTTAGAAGTCAACACCAAAATGCATTTTTCCCAGACCCCGACAAAAATGATGTGTTGTGTGCTGCAACACATATAAATATAATATCGGCCATGATTAATTCTTTTTGCAAACTATTTATTCTCATGTAAAAGTGGGTACTATGAATTGGTTCTTATATGTACATTTTGTTGTTCTTGTACAGAGAGAAGAGAAAAAGGACTATGCTGCCGAGGTGCGGTTTGTAGACGAACACGGACGCACGCTTGCCAGAAAGGTGCGTCAGTCCTTTTTTCATCGTAGCCTATACTCTCATATTCTACCACATAGCCACAAGCCAAATGTTGAAAGCAGATTTGACAACAAAGCCTCTATAATTTGTTGTCAAATCTGAGTTAAGGGTAATTTCAACTCTAGAGGAAGTCATAATTGAATTAAATGTATTTAATAGTTGTGAGTGTGAGGCATAACCATCATCATGTCATTGTTGTCTGTATCTTGGGACTGCAGAGAGCCACATCGGTCGGCTAACGGAGAGACAAGTTTTTTGGTTACATGTAGAGGCTTCAGCAGTTAACTGGTCCGAGTCTTGTTTCCTTCCCTCCTCCCTGCCTCCTTGCTCCAGGTGGGGGTGGATGAGAGAAAGGGCGCTCAGTCAGCGCAGCGCACCATTCTGCGGAGAGTTAAACACTGAAATACAAATACTGCCCGGTCCTCCAGGTACGGGACACACAACAAGCACGAGTGCATCCCAGTGCTTGGACAGAGCCTACAGCAACTTATCGGACTCAAAAGTCTCTCACTTGCTGTTCCATTTCTGTGCAAAATTAGAATTTGGGCATAAATGATTTGGCATTCAGTTACACTTTTTGTTTTATTTTGGAAGGGCAAATTCACTTTTCCTGGGTTTTGTTTCTAAATGCTGTTCGTCTCTTTTTTTCTAGGACCGGAAAGCCACTGCCAAATCATCCTCCACAAAAACACAACCAGAGCGCAGATGGAAATGAGAGGAAGGGGAGGAGAGGAAGCGTGAGACAAAGACTTAAGAAGTGCAAACTACAAAATGACAAACACAGAAACATCCTCAACGTGTGACCATGGAGCACCATGAAAGAAAAGTTCAACTTGTAGTTTTATAACATTTGTAAAGAAAAATATCAACTAGACTAAGGCATGATTCTTCTTCTTCTTCTTCTTCTTCTTCTTCTTTTTTTACAAAAAAACATAAATGTCAGTAAAACAACCGAGAAAAACAAACAAAAAGTGCTTCCTGTGAACTGTAATCGCATGATGACTGCTGGTGCATGCCCTTTGACCTTTTGAACTGTCATTATCTACAAACTGAAGCGGTACAAGGTACGGGGCTGGCCCAAGCTGGGGCCTTTTTTAAGGACCCTATTCCCGCCAACAGGAGTTGTGTGTGTCGGCAAGTTGAGTCCAATAACACCAAAAAAAAAAAAAGATCGATCCCTCGATGGACGGTTCCGTATACAGCTAAGCTCCTGCTGAGCCTACTGATGCTTCTTTCACTGTCCCCTATTATTCTCAATGTGATATATGCACTCTATGCTACGTGGACATGTGTCAGTGTGTGTGTGTATGTGTGCGCGTATTCTCTACCGCATGTGTTTCTTGGCTTGGAGCTGAGCCCTGCCTCATGATTGGCTCTTGAGCCCTGTGGATGTCACGGCGGAACAAGAAAAGCCGCCGTGCTCTGCTCCCCCGCCCCCCGCTCGTGAGTGTACCTGTCTGCGTGTGCTGCTAACGTCTTTTCCTTTGTGGATGAAGCTTGTGTGTTTTTCCGTTCCTTCGGTCCACCTTGGTTTTTAAAGTATTTGTCCGACCAATGTGAGGAACATTTTGCCCCTGGTGTTTTCTTTGGATAGGGGTTGGTTGCTTGACTGTATTGTGCAGCGGCTCGACGTCACAAAGATTTCCTCCATCGTGACCTTTTTCTAACTTCTTCCGTCATTTCTCCAAGTAGCGCGCGGTATCTTGATCCTTATCAGTAGCCTCAGTCAATATGCAGTTTTAAAAAATCACAGGCCTCTTATCAGCATTTATTAGCTCCTACATTTAACGCTGAAAACTTTGCATGTGCTCCCTCTTTATCTGTTTGAAACAGCTGTAGCACCTCACCGTCAAAATGTACATTCATTCATTTGAACACAGTGGTTGCATCGTAAACAAGGATTCACCTTGGGGGGGGGGGGGTACAGGGATTTGTAGTTCAATGGTAGCAGGCGTAAAATAGCATCTTGCTACGAGAGAACAACATGGGATTGTGACGGGCAGCGGGGACAGACAGGTAGCACTGTGAATGTCTTATTAACACTGACCCCAGACTCGTGAACTGTGAAGACACACAAACAAAAGCACACACACATAATCAGAAACATGTGACATAAAATAAAACGTATTGCCTAGTCAGAGAGCGTCGGATTTTTGAGTTTGCCACCGCAATAATACTGGCAAGAAAAATGACGATGCTAGCCAGGGTTCTGGAAATACATGATTTGGAACGGTGTAGATGACTAAATCTCTGGAAAAGCATTTGAGTTAGACATCAGTCAGATACAGCTCTAGCATGAGAGGGATTCTTTGTTTTTCAGCACCTAACGTAGCAAAAATTAAATCAGGATATATTACCGTACCGAAAAAAGGAGTCTGCTGCAACCTAGCTCCATTTGTGTTTTTGATTAATTTCTTTATTATTTTCATACACTGACGTCACTGCAACCCGCCCATCGTTCTCTTCATCTCCAACGCACTTCCTTTATGCAGAAACCTGACGGGGTCGTACCATAGTAGCACATTTAATGGGACAATATTGAAGTGCTGTAAATGCTACTGTAGCCTGAAAGAGTGAGACGCCGATTGAATGAATGAATGAGCGAGTTCATTAGTTCTACATCACACAAATGCACATGTTTTCATGTCCTGTCCGTGCACACAAGAGAATCATCTGATATAGCACATGTTTATTACATATCACACGTTTTCCACTGTTACTCCACTCAGGTTTTCCGTTCTGCTCGGTCAGAATCAAAATGTTTTCCTTGTTATGTTCCAAGTCCTCCTTTCACAGACGAGTGAGGGGCACAAAGTGAGTGTTTCTGAGGAAGGCGTTGGTGTTTTGGGCGGGATAGGGATGTAAAGGAGGGGGGCAAGAGCAGGATGGTGTGTGTGTGTGTGTGTGTGTGTGTGTGTGTGTGTGTGTGTGTGTGTGTGTGTGTGTGTGTGTGTGTGTGTGTGTGTGTGTGTGTGTGTGTGTGGTGGACTCTTTAATTCAAGTAAGAAAAAAGAGGAGACGTGAAGCATTCAGTATGTAGTCAGTAACCTCTTCCAACAGGAAAGTTTCATTAAATTAATATTAAGTGTTTTATTTAAGTTAGCTGTAGCATTATTCATCTAAAGTGACGAGTTACCTTCTATATCATCTCTTGTACTGTATCAGTGCAAGAAGGGAGTTAGATTTGGGGATGTTAAAGACAATTTAATTCATCTTGTGTTAAGGAAATAATCCTTACAATTTCGAGATTTAAACCCCAAATGGTATAATATATTTGTGTCATGTTTAGCATGTAGAGTTTTCCCTACAGTATAGTTGCTTTCTTCATTGGTGGATTTGACAGTCGTGGGACAGCATTCAATCCTATTACAGTCCGTTGACGCTGTGGACATTTCTCTCCATTAATATGATCAGCTTACAGTTGTATAGTCCTTTAAATTGTCGATTCTGACAAAGTAGCCACGAAGACTACAATTTAAAAATGTCTCTGGGGAAAGCTTTAAAACTTATTTAGACTTTCATGTTGGACATAAAATGTAAAAAAAAACTACTTATAACAAGAAAACATTTTCTTTGCTGGTTTATGAGAAAAGTATTAGAGAAGGGATTCTGTCTGTCAGGTGTGGTACCTGTACGCTCAAATGTAGTTGGTATTAATCCATTTTGAAAATTAGAAGATATTCGATGTGGCCACCCAAAAAAGATTTATGGCTGAAGTTTATTTTAATGTAATTCTTCTGCTTCCTTCCTGAACGATAACTTAGATTTGCAATTTGAATCAAACAAGTCATTGAGCCATTGTACTAACATCAGTACAACTCCACCGTGTGTATCTGTGTGTGTGTGTGTGTGTGTGAGTGAGTGAGTGAGTGAGTGAGTGAGTGAGTGAGAGAGAGAGAGAGAATGTGTGATGGTGTTTGGTTTGAAACCTTGTTGGATCAGGGGGAAGAAAAGAGAGTTTTTACCAGACTTGTGACCTGAGAGGACGTGTAACCTATGGCGATGTATTTAAAAAAAGAGTATTGTAAAATTAACTGTGGCGAAAGAATAGAGGTCACCTATACTCCTTTAGAATGGATACATGACAATGTAAACGCAATATCATATTAATCTATCCTAAGGAATGCAACTGCGCACATGCAGAAAAAAATCTGTTTTTATGAAAATATGTGTATAAATATATGACAAAATATATTTAATTAGAATGCTATGCACCCTCATAGAGTTGTTATGGATGTTCTTTAAGCATTATCTAGAGTAGGCCAACGCCCACATCATGGGGAATGTAGAGGCTTCGTAGCTATGACCACTTGTTTTCTTTTCTTTTGTATTGTCCTGGAGAGAGGATAAACAAACGTGAATATGTATACAAGCCTTTCAATCAGAATCATTCTGACATATGTATAGATCATCTTACCCTGTACACCAGCTCAAACCATTTACAAGACTTAATAAACAAAGATGTGACATAAATGTGGTGTCATGTTTTTTGTAAAATGGGAAATTAGTGCAGCTTTTCTATATTTTTTTGTATTCAATAACATTCCTACATTGACTATTGGGAATTTAAAGTGCTTTATTTTATGGGTCTAACATATCAAAACCATACAAAATGCTTTTTTTATTTTATTAGCAATTTGATTTATTTTATAGAACTGCTCCAAATACATTAGGTTTTTATAGTATTTCTTATTGTAGATTGTATTGGTTGTATAGACTGATGCTTACCATATAAATTATACCATAGAAAACTATTTTTTTAAATATTTAAAAATATTATTAATTTGTTGTGTTTTTTATAGTAGGCCTGCACATAATATTTGTACTTCATACAATCGTTGGGTATTTTACTGGATGTTTCCTATGACTACAAATATGTTTTTGATTACATGAAAAAGGTTTTTTGCATGTAATTTTAAAACAAAATGTATTTTTGTTCTTTATATCACTGTGAATACTTTTTTATTAAGGATTTGTTACGATTGAAGTTGTATCTGTGATTGATACCCCTGGATTATACATCCATGGATTGATAGAGCAGCCTGCAGATCCGGAAGAAATAAAACCTCCTCGTGTTGTGATTGGCTAGAAACAGGGGGCGTCACAACCATGTTTCCAGCCAATCACAGCGCTCCACTCCACATGTTGTTTTGAAGGAGGTTCCTGGAATGTTTTGGACCTGCTCTCACCACGTGGAGGCTCAAGGTAACTTCTCAGCTTCACTGCGTGTTGAGCACCTGAAGCAGCTAGCCCTGTCTGTGGCCTTTAAGTATTATTAAAACAGAACCGTGTTGTGAGACATGTCAGCGGCAGGCCAGCCCACCAGGAGCCAGAACATCCCGGCCGTGAGACGGGTCACCATCCACGATGCTGCCCACATGCCGCAGGACTACTCCACGACCCCCGGGGGGACTCTGTTCAGCACTACGCCAGGAGGTAACGAAGAACTGGGTCTTGTTATTGGATTTAACACAGTTTAAATACGATATGCGTTAAGAGAAAGATCAGTAATGAAAGGGGGGGAAGAGAAAGATCAGTATGAACAGGGGGAGGTATTTAAAGGGACACTTACATGGAAAATCTACACGACATTTCTGAAGAATGTCACGTTGATCCCGAAACCAGCATTTCAAGTTCAAAATGTATTTAGTTATAGGGAGATTCATTGAGAGTTACTTTCCTTTTTCACAAACGCCCTGATCACGTTCACAAAGGCTGTGTTCAAAAACACTCGTTGTTTATACTATTTTCTGCAGCTGCCCTCAGGAAGTACTGTTGCATGCAGCATGCATACTGCGGCCCAATCCCAAACCACGCCCTACACCTTACCCCCTACCCCTTACCACACTACCCCTCCGTGACGGAGTGAACTCCGTGGAGTGACACTCGCAGCTC